TTTTTTTTTTTAATTTATTTGTGGGGGGTTGGGTAAAAGGCCCCCTCCCCTGGCTAAGAGCAATAAGAGCCCCCCTGAATTTAATGCAACCTTGATAAGATCCACTAGATTTCGATTCGTGCATCCAAGAATTTCGGTTAGGTGTACAGAAGCCTTCGGCATGATGAGCCGAAGTTCGGTTCCCCGGACCGAGAACTTTGTGCTGACAACCGAGAAACTTCGGCTCGTTCTACCGAAGAACTGGAGTTCAGTGAACTGCTATAATTGGTGTTCCATATGGACCAATCATAGCGGCACAGGCAACCGAAGTTCGGTTACTGACGCCGAACTTTTTTTCTCCGTGCGGGTGCCCACAATTCTGAAAATCTTCCCTCAAAGTTGGTCGATTCGTTACTTTTGAAGAATGCGAAGTCTTCGATGGCTTTACTGTCACTCATTATGTGGTTGACCATGGGCGGATCCAGACNGGGGGGGGGGGGGGTTCATTTATTTATGAATTTTTGAAGCTCTGATTTCGCAATTTCCAAGGTGTCTACTAGTCCGGAAATAGTGATTTTTCAAGGGTGGTCCGGTAGGAGTGAAAGAAGCTGAAATTCCGCAAGAAGGTCCAGAACTTCTTCCTTCATACCACGTGTGTTTTTTTACTAAACCCTGCAAAGTATCCACTCCCCTGCAGATTTATTTTTAGAGCAGTATTTGCCTGCAAGATTGGGATCGTGCAGTCAGCCAATCTTCCAGCCACCGATGAATCACGTAATTTTCGTCGAAATTCGAGCGTGTGGTTTGTGAGAAATTACAGAGTACGGAAAGTGTGTTAGGTTTCTACAAATTGCTCTGAAGCAAATGGTGTACAAAGAATTGACGTTGTAGGTATTGTCTAAAGGCATAATTGGACTTCATTTTGCAATTCGGAACTATAACTTCCGACCCATCTTAGACCCGAGCACTTATCTGGATAGAGAAACTAATGGTAGGTACACACGATGGTTTTAAACTGAGGCACAATATTGGACCACGTTAAACAGAAAGGAGCCAAGCCTTATCAGCTATTGCCAACTTTAACAGGGGAATTTCTTTTTTTTTACGAGAGAACGTATGTGCAGATTCCTTTGAAAATTTTAAGGAATTTGCTTTGTATTATGAAGAAAATTCACTGAAATTGGCACCAAAATCCGCACCATCGGTTTCATGAAAAAAATTAAATTGCCCGCTAAAATTTGGCAATAGCCGATGTGACTTTGGTTCCTTTCTGTTTAACGCGGTTCAATTTATAGTTTCTAATTGCAAAATGCAGTCCAATTAAGGTATTGCATACACAACAGGATGCACAACATTTCAAGCTGAGAGATAACACATTGAATTTTCATCGAAGCCTTGCCCACATGAGCGCAGTTTGGACAAATTAGTTTCAGGAACTGGGGGCTACAGAAATAAGGTAACGATAATTGTTCCAACAAGTTCCTCGAACCGTGCTCGCGTGGACACGACCTTTGACCTTCAAGAAAATGCCCGATTTGACAAGTTCCTCAGACCATTATTCTACTGTGATAGCGAAGAGAGCCGTAATGGTCAAATTTTCGAAACTGAGTTTCCTTCAAAGTTAGTCTAATCTCTTTAAGATGAAATCAGTGAAGTAGCTAAAACAGCAAAACTCGTCGTATTTTTATGAAAACGAGGCACACGAGAAAGCCGTAGGTGCGCTAAACATGACGTAGTTTTATATTGAATATTATATGACGGAATGTTCGGAAATGTTAGGGAACATGTCCGGAGAAAATAGTCAAATTACCTTAATTTGCTTTCTCGAGGGGGTTTGACGTCTCGAACCACAAATGTTGCTTGAAAACTTTCTAACTATATCTTTTTAAAAACCTGACATTTGTTCAATTGTCAGGGAATTCCACCAACTTGTGTCAGAAAAATCAATTGTCCAAACTCGGTGGCAACCCGGGTTTAAGGCCCTCTTCGCTATGACGCACAGTGGATCGAGTCAAGAGGAGAAGTCGGACAAAACTTGGAAACTTTGAACGCTTATAACTCCATTTATCCACAAGTTTGAGGTTCTGAAAGTGGTTTCCTTGGTTTCCTCGTGAAATTTTCCTTTAGAAGCACCCCTTATAATTTAAAACGCGAAGAATTAAACATCAAAATTCGCAGTGTTTAATCCGCTTTTACGGCGCGCAGGGGCGCTCTGCGACGCCTACTCTCCACATGCAGGAATCTGTCATGGTAGAAATCCTCCGGAAGCTGGCATCTCTCCATCTCTTGACGGATGCCCTCTACCCACCGTTTGGCTGGACGCCCTCTCCATCGCCTATTTGGGGAGACCCACTCCAACACCTTCGGCAACCCGGTTTCAGCCATTCTCTGCACATGCTCATACCATACCAATTGCTTATACATGATATCGTGCCCAATCGTCCCCTCAACGACCTCGGACACGTTCAAATTCGAAGTTTTAGTCAAAAATTTCATGTCCGACCTCTCTAATTGACTCGGTTCACTGTGTGGCGGTAGTATTAAGAGCCACGTTGAGAAAAGGCACACATTCATGCAGGGCCGGATTTACCAATAGGCTACATAGGCTGTAGCCTAGGGCGCAACATTCTGAGGGGCGCAAAATTTTTGAGAATTTTTTTTCTTTTTTTAAATTTAACGAGTCTTTTGTTACTCTTTATTTTCCAAAACCAACTTGCAAACGTTAACGTACCTCAAAACTGTTTAAAATCGTGTTGTTTTAAAGGTGAATTTGAACATTATCCTGACACCTAACATCCTCCCTCTGATCTGGAGGGAAGGGGCGTCTAGGCCCCCCCCCCCCACGAGAGCGCCTAATTTTAAGGGTGCCACCCTAAGTTTAGCCTAGGGCGCTAAAAATGATAATCCGGCCCTGCACTCATGGAGAATTTGTAAGACTATGCTGCGCTGGATGCTTGACGCCTTGGAGAGAAGAGGAGGTGGTCTGCTGCCGGGGGGATGGGGATGGCGGGAGGCGGCTAGGAGGGGCGGGAGCGGGTGGTGGCGCTGCGGCGGCGTCGGGAGCGCGGGCGCGGTTGAGGCGGGGATCAGCTGTCGGTCTCCTCGGACTCGCGGTGGACGAGGGCCTGGACGAGGGTGGCCTCGGAGGCGCGGCGGAAGGCGGCGCGGCGGAGGTGGGCGGGGACGGCGGAGGCGGCCGAGACGGGGGTGGGGGTGGCGCCGCCGGAGTCGGGCGAGGCCTCGGTCACGGTGATGCAGACGCCCTGCTCGCCGAGCCCCGAGCCCGAGGGGATGTCCAGCGACGCCACCGTCGGCAGGCTCGTCGGCGGCTGCTTCGTCTCCGGCGACGGCCGCGTCACCGCTATGTGAACCTCGTTCCTGCAATCAGTCGAAAAACAAGGATGTCAAACGGGAAACAAAGCTAAAAATACACAGATCTTGAATCAAGAAACAACTTCTTAGTATTAGCAGCCATGGTGGCTTGATGTAAGACTCAGCAGGTTTGACTCAAGATTTTTGTGCTGCTTAAATCAAGCTAGCAGGTGATTCAAGCCATAAGGTAGCAGCAATTAAGAATCTCGAATCTTGAATTTAGCAATAAACTGCTTGTTTTAAGATGAAAATTCTTGAATCAAGCTGATTTTTTCTCAAGATTCCGAGACGGCTTGACCGTGGCAGACTTTTTTTTCCAGTGTATAGCTTTGTCTATAAATTTCATGAGTGAAGCGATTGGTTGTGTGGGATACTTACGCGGTGAGGGTGGGCTCCTCGGGGAGTTGGTCGCCGTTGGGCTGGGTGCCGGTGAGGAGGAGGAGGGGGAGGTTGAGCCACATGTTGCCCAGCTCGGAGACGTCGCTGGCGTCGGAGGCCCGCGAGGACTTGCGCGAGGAGGCCCGCGAGCCGCGGTGCACGTGCAGGAACGCCGACAGCTTCCCCTGCCACCCGGTCCCCGGCGATGACGTCTGCGTCACGTCGTCGTCCTTGTCCACCTCCGTCCTCCGCCTGCAAAAACCCAAAACATGCTCAAACTGCTTCACGGAGAAAAATGTTCGTGCTCTTGTAACACTTTTGGTCAATTAATATACGAAGTGGAACACAATCCACACCGAAAAAAAAGTGAAGTTGATTTGGACTGCATTTTGCAATTTGGCACTATAAATTCTGGCTCATCTGAAAAAACACTCATGTGCGTAGGGAAACTAATGGCACATACGTTGTTTTTATAGCGAGCCGGAATTTATAGTTCCTAATTGCCAAGTGCAGTCCATTTAACATTTTGGATGTAAAGAAAAGAGTGCGAGAACTAATAAAGTATTGAGTTACCCGTCACAGCAGTTCGTTTTACTTATTTGCATTGCTCAAGTAACTGCTGTAGCGGGCAATGCAGCATTTTCTAAGTTCTCGCACACTTTTTTTTACATCCGGAATGGTTTATCGCAACTTCACTTTTTTTTCGGTGCAACCTAAATTTGGACCGCATTTAGCAGAAAGGAACCAAGCGACATTAGCTATTGCAAAATTTTAACCGGGCAATTGAACTTTTTACCAGAGAACATTGTGCGGATTCCTTTGAACATTTTGAGGAATTTGCTTCGTTCTTTGTAGAAAATTCACTGAAATTTGCACAATAATCCATACAACTGTTTTCATGTAAAAAATGAAATTGTCCAATTTGATTTGGCAATAGTTAGTGTGGCTTGGTTCCTTTCTATTTAACGCGGTCCATTTTGCGTTCATTTTGGTACAGCTTGCGGTGAATTTGCCGTAGAAATCAATGGAGAGGCCGGGAAACTCAAGAGTCGACCGAAGGCTCGGGTTATTTTGTGTTTTACCCATATTTATACAAAATGTTGGTTACTTTTTCTTACCGTGTTGCAAGCAACTGTTAATGCTCCCAAGACGCTCTAATTGCCTGTCAGAATTTTGAAGGGGAACCTTCCCATCGAATGCATCGCATTCTGCAAGAAGGAACCGGCGCGATTACGGGGTTGTTAAAATGTTGCTTCTTGATAATTATCAAAAAATCTCCCAGAATAGCAAATAGTTTTTGCTTCCACTAAAAAATCTATTAATTTTTAAGGAAAATAATTGTGTTAAGTTTAATACTGTACATATAATATCTAGTAGGTATTCTTTAAAGAAAAATAGAAGTTTCACGATTTTGCGGAATGCGATCCAAACGGTCGTTTCCCGCTCGAAGAAACATAACTCTATTGTGAGGTCTTCATCTTGACTCAAACAATGCAATTTCTGAGGTCTTTAACTTGACTCAAACAATTCATTTTTCTACGAAAATAATCTCGCATGATTTTTGTCGAAAATTACATTTATGTAACTTTCACGATACATTTCTGGGAGCCTAACGCGTTTCACACGGAGAAAAAAAACTCGTGCGTGGGACCCGAAGTTTAGGTCATATGGATCTCTGAAGTTTTCAGATTGAGCATCTGAACACTTTAGGTCTAGCTGCCGAAGTTCGGATCATACATCTGAAACTTCAGTTCTTACATCTGAAGTACTTCGGTTCTAACATCCGAAGTACTTCGGTTCTCACATCCGAAGTACTTCGGTTCTCACATCCGAAGTACTTCGGTTCTCACATCCGAAGTACTTCGGTTCTCACATCTGAAGTACTTCAGATGTAAGAACTGAAGTTTCAGATGTATGATCCGAACTTCGGCAGCTAGACCTAAAGTGTTCAGATGCTCAATCTGAAAACTTCAGAGATCCATATGACCTAAACTTCGGGTCCCACGCACGAGTTTTTTTTCTCCGTGCAAGACCTCCCTGGGTCTCTCCCTCAGGACATGTCGCGTATGTAGCGCGTGACACGTATCGTATTTAGTATTACATGTTTCCATGTTTCCGTAGGTCTGTTTATGTGACGATGAAGGTAATACTGATACTGATACCTTTTCCATTCCCTGAAGTGCCGCTGAATGATGCGAGCCGCTTTGTCCTGTCTCTTCCACAACCGCGTCGATGACACAATTTCCAGCTCTTTCCGAGTCGGGAACTGCTTCTTGAACTTCACATCCATTTGATCTTGAAGCTGGAACACAATGAAGTGACATCGTTATTCTTTTACATTTTCACATCCCTGTTCCTGTTTTCCCCTGACAAAAGCCTCTGATCGAAAATCGAATCAACATTCAGTAATTTTTTAAACGTTTCATAGATTCGTTCTAATGCTACCATCATTCTATTTGTACATTTTCACATCCCTGTTCCTGTTGAGCCTTAGGTCAACATTAACAAGACAATATAACAACACTAATATGAAATTTACCACCTAACAAATTCACTTCATTTCGTTTACTGCCAAAGCGCTCTGTTTCTCTTGATACTCTGAATATTAACCTATAACAAACTTTTATAGCATCAGCTGGACTCATCAAAATGTTGCCGAGCCTCAACAATTCTGTTTTTCCCAAAGCCTCTGATCGAAAATCTAATCAACATTCAGTAAACTTTTAAGCGTTCTATAGATTCATTCTAAGGCGGTTTTCGAAATCTGTTCAGTCTCAAGAGAGGGAAGTTTAGAAAGAAAACTGAATTTGAGAGCTAACTTCTTGTTGGCCGAAGCCCTTTCCTTTATGTTTTCAATCAGAGTTTGCAAAATGGACCACTAGACAAGGTACGAATTTCAGCATTCTGATACATGTTTCTTCACCAAAATTTCACGTCAAACACGATGCGCACAACGAAAATTACGGAAATCAACTCTTTCCGAAGAGATTGAATGATTCTTGGTGCGTGAATTGAAACCACCCGCTCATGAAAACTCAATGCTCCACGTGATTCACATCGCGCGCTAAACGTTATCATGAACGTCTCTGCAATAAAAAAATCTGGCAACCTCTATCTTGACACTTTGGCTCAGCCATAGCAAATCACTTATAATTTGAAAAACACATGCATGGTGGGAAATGAGCATTGCTCGATTGAGGAGCTTGCTGAAATCGTTGTTGTGCGCGATTTGACTCACGTGGAGCTTTGAGTTTCTTGTGAGCGGACAGTTCAAATTTCTCGTGACCAATGTGAAATAAAAATGTTATTATCTCCGTTAGGAGTTGATTTCTGTAATTTTCGTTGCGCGAATCGTGTTCTACGTGAAATTCTGGTTAAGATACATGTATCAGAATGCCTAAATTCGTCCCTTGTCTAGTGGTCTATTGTATTAAAACTCCGTTTCGCTACTTGCTCATCGATTTCTTCGTCCTCCTGGTCTTCCTGGTTCTCTTCACTTTTGGGTTTGATTGCTGTTTCGAGCGTTCGTCTGCCTCCTCGATTTTATCTTCGTTGTTCTCATTTTCGAGAGAACATATAGCTCGCGGAATTTCTCGTTGGCTGTTTTGAAATAAGTTCCAAATGCCGTCTTCATTTCCTCCAATAAACCGATTAGAGAGTCGTACAATGCAACAGCTCCTGAGACATGCATCTCTTTGCTTTGTATGTCGTCTAGAATTTTTCCGAATCGAAGACGAGGAGTAGAAGGATAGGGGGGGGGGGGGATGTTGAGCTGACTGCACGGGGACTCTCTGGCGGCGATCGCGTTTTCCGAAAAGTCCTTATGTCCTAGAGTCTCCAGGATCTACCGCGCGAGCGTTGCATCACAGTCATGTTTTGGTTTTTCGCGATGGAAAGTTTTCGCGGCGGCAAATTCGTCCCACGAAAAAATGAACTATTATACATACATCGGTCTTACACGCGACTATCAAGTCGCTGCACGGGGCACGGGGTGGTCCTCTTAGTTCATAGAGCATGAGAAAATCAAATTTTACCTCATTTTTATCGCTCTCTCTTCTTTTATCAATCACTCTCCCCTCTCTTTATAACAATGGACCACTAGACAGGGTATGAAATTCAGCATTCTGATACATGTTTCTCAGCCAAAATTTTACGTAGAGCACGATGCGCACAATAAAAATTACCGAAATTGACTCCTTACGAAGATATTTAATGATTCTTGATGCGTGAATTCAAACCACCCGCTCATGAAAACTCAATACTCTACGTGATTCACATCGCGCGCTAAACGTTATCATGACAGTCTCTGCGATGTAAAAATCTGGCAACCTCAATCTTGACGCTTTGGCCCAGCTATAGCAAATTACTTATAGTTTGAACAACACACGGTGGGAAATGAACATTGCTCGTTTGAGAAGCTTGCTGAAACCGTTGTTGTGCTCGATTTGACTCACGTAGAGCTTTGAGTTCCTTGTCAGCGGGCAGTTTAAATTCCTCTTAACCAATGTGAAATAAAAACGTTAATATCTTCGTTAGGAGTTGGTTTCAGTGATTTTCGTTTCGTGAATCGTGTTCTACGTGAAATTCTGGTTAAGAAACTAGTATTGGATTACTTAAATTCGTACGTTGTCTAATGGTCCATTTGCCGGAATTGAAAGAAAATCTTTCTTTGACCGAGGGAATCAATCAACCTGCGATAGATATCAAATTTAAGTGATCGCACAAAAACAGCATCGTGAAGGCCGCACATTACCGGCGTAGACGCGATGTGATTTCTGCCCAGTGCTTTGAATGTCAACGTGAAGAGATTCAAGCAATCGAATTAATTCCATCAATCGTCACGAGAACGCAAATAGATTATCAAAAGCAATAGCCAACAGTTGAGAAATAGTTATTTCCGTATTCAGAATTACCTTTGTCGAAATGACAAGCACTTGCTGTTCAAAGTCGTCGACGATAGTGCCATCCTCACGCTGCTCTTACAGGGACGTCAAATGATCCGACACCGTTTAAAACGAGGAAAATTGTGAAAGAATCAACGGACGATTGATCAACCAAAAAATAAAGAGCAAATCATAATAACGAAACAATGTAGATAACGCAGAAATAAATAAACAAACAAGCGAAAAAACAAATGAAAATATAATGTAAAACTCAATATGTATAACTGAAAGAAATCCGAGCGTAAGGAAAGTTAAGAAAACAAGCTAAATAAGATTCAAAACGAGAAAAAAAAAAAAGAAAGGAAAAAAAGTTTTTGAACTATTTGTAACGAGGTGGAGAAATGGTGCTGGGTCCACACAATTTTGCAGGGGAAGAAAGCCAAGAAATTTCAAAAAAATTTCAATTAGAGTCAAATTTTGTTTCTCTCTCTCTCTCCCTCCCCCCCTCTAATAAGTACCAGTACAAGACTGAGGGGGGAGATTGTTCAGCTCAGGCAGCTTGCAAAAAATTTTGTGACCCTAGTTGAAAGACACTTGGAATTTCTTTGCTTTGTTTTCCCCGCGAAATGGTGTGAACCTAGCTCCATTTCTCCACTTTGTTACTTAAGGCTCAAAATACAGATTGCAAATGCTTTCTTGTTTAAAATGGTGCTACCTTTTCCGTAAATGGTTTCTGAGGTACTGTGTTAATCTTTCTTCAAGAGCATTATCCCCGTACTATTGACGAGGGGGTAAATTGGCACCATTAATTTTTTTTTTTTTTTTTTTTTTTTTTGACTTCAAATAGCCTTCAAGGGCTAATCCCATTCAATTCAGGCTACCAACCGTACTTGCCCTAACCTATTTCATAATCCAAATTCCCTCCACCTATAACACTTGGGCAACAGTTCTCCATCACCCCAATTAGATTCTTGAAACCTCATCATTTCCCTAACTACCATTTTCTTAAAACCATTAATATCCAACTGTTCCCAATTATGGCAACCAAACAACACGTAATCCCTCATTCATTTAAAGAATAACATTCGATCCACTAGGTTATCCTCACTAAACTTGACCTCAACCTTTCTCCCTACCCTCCTATCCATTATTTCTATAATATCCTTATCTACCAAATTTATCATCCCTTTCCTCATCTTATAAAGTATTACAGAGGTCCTAACTTTATTTAGCAGTTCTATACACAACCATCCTAAACTTTTCAACATTTTTAAGATATTACAGTCTCTATCACATCCTAATATATACCTCATGGCTGAATTTTGCCCTTTTTGTAGTGCCCTAATCTCCTTTTCATTTGCTTCTCCTAGCAAAGACATACAATAATTTAACTTTGAACCAACCAGTGAGTTATATATTAGCTTCCTACTTTATTTCCCTATAAAGCCCTTTATTCCCCATAACAAACTTATTTTACTCCTAAACTCCCTCGTTATCCTATCAATATGTTTTTTTAATTTCAAATCTTCAGTCAGCCAGATTCCAAGATATTTAAATTCTCTAACCCTTTCTATCACTCTACCATCCATTACCACCTCCTGCCTGAATTGCCTTGAACTGCAGTGTTATTGATCTACAACTGAGGAAATTAATTTCTTGTGACATCGTTAAATGGGGTGAATTTGAACGTATCTTTTCTCCGTGAGAGAGATTTATTTTTCCAAGCCCTACTCCAATTTCTAAACTTACAAGAATAGCAGTCGGCCCCCAAAAGAATAGTGAAATATTCCTGAAATAATTTGTTGCTGGTATGTGACATGTAAGTTGATCGAACTAATCAGCCATTATTCTGAACTTAAAAAATTGTAGGACAATCAATAAAACTACCTTTGGAGACAGCATCGTAATTTTAGCAGATTCGCCCCAATAGCGAACTTTCCATTCATCGGCCTGACACGAACATCAAAGTTAATGTTCATAAGAGCCCAGCACACGAAAAAAGTCAAATGCAACAAAAGATAATTAGAAAATAAAAATAAGGAAACGTATGTTTAGAATGAATGAGTGCTAAATAAATCCAACAAAAAAGTTAAGAAACGTGCAGAGAGGCATACGAGTAATTAATTAAGCAAATTATAGGCACGTGTTAAAATGCAGGACGAAGTGCTTTTAAAGTTCTAGGTAGGTATTACTACAGAACGTACACCAATGCCATTGGTAAAATAAGTTTATAACAATAAGGTGCTAACCTAACTATGGTCACTCAAGAATGTTGTTAAACGTGTATAGCCTATGCTTGTTTCACACCCGATTATCATTCGCTGACAAAAATTTTCAATCTGTTTCGTGCATAATATAAGTAACTAAAGTACTGGATATTCGGGGTTAAAATCTAGAACATATTCCATCAAAACAGGACCTAGCTGTGGGAGTGATCATTTTCTTCGTGCGGTGCTTTCTGAATGTTTGCGACTCTTATCTTTTTTTTGTAAAGCCGATGAACCACGCGACACAATTTTGTCCTTATTTTCAGTTTTTTTAGTTGTCACAACACGGAGCATAGCACGTAGATCATATTAACAAATTCTCCTGTCATATAATGCGAATCAGCGTTTAAAACATGTATTAATACTTATTTTATTTCTTTGCGCGAGTGATCAATTCGTGAACTTATCGGAAACGTGTGCTTGTATTTGGAAACTCTTCTCTCTCTCTGTGCCGAGACCATTTTATCCATGAATTAATTTGAAGGTTCATCTCGAACCTGAAAATCGGACTTCAGATTGAAAATTTAATATCTTTTTTCGAACCGCAAAATCTTGTTATCTTTCCAGGCGTAAGGGATGAATATGAATTTTTAATCATGAAATAATAGAATGTATGTGGAAACGTTCATATAAAAAAATTCCAGGCATCATTAATAAGATGAAAATCAAGACGAGCATGTGTATGTGAAAGGGAGAAAACTGATAAACAAAATAATTTGCGTACAAATGAACGAAATCAACTTTTATACGTTGAAAACAAAACTCAAACGGAACAGCGAGTATTTTAAGAAGGGGAACAGTGGATTCAACGCTTACTTTCTTGAACTCTTCAGTCTCTTCAACATGGCCGAGGACATGCTTAACCAGCGCATGGAGGATGTCCAAACAGTGGATCTTGTTTCCCCGAGCTATCGGGAGATTGAAGGACACCAAAGCCACGATGTTGGGCTTCGGGATGCCCAGCGGGGCGTCCAAGCTCGCTATGAAATCAGACAGCTGCGAAAACCCGATGAACTGAGTTGCGTGCGGATCGTACCTGAAAAAAGCGGAAAGTCTGCCTATTTTCACCATGTCATCAGGAATTGGGGAGGAATAATATCAGGTAAGGAATAAATGAGAATTTAGTACCGAGAATACTTATGTTTAACATAAACATGAACAAAAAACAAGGGGGAACGAGGCTACAAATACAACACTATAAATCCGAGACCGTCCAATCCAAAACTGAGGCATTTTTCGTCCGAAAAGGAATCACAAATTAAAAAACATCGAAGAAAAAACTTTTTCTTCAAACTTTTTCTTTTGTTTTAAATATCAGAAGAGTAGTGTAAACTGATCGGGAGAGGACTTGAAGGGTTAATTTCACCCTTATTTTCGGAAAACGGCTCCGAAAATACAGATGTCATCGAGTTATTTTGGAGATAAGATGAAGCCGCAGTCGTTTTGGTCGCTTTAACAGAACCCTGAAGTGTGACCAGCTAGCAACACCACCGCGCCACAAAAACTCATTTCATGAGATTATTCCTAATAGATTTCAAGAGATGAGAAGGGTCCCACATGAAATAGATTTTTTCTGAACCATTCCTAAAACATAGCTTTATTTTGATCACACTTAAGAGCCTGGCGAGCTTTCGGTTCTTAGAGCCTTGATCACGAATAAATAATTTTACGATGAGATGTTTCGTTCGCTGCTCAAAAGTCCAACACAGATTTTCGGATTGATTTTGTTTAAGGGCCACTGCAATGTGCATTATGGGGAAGGTTGAAAATCAACCTGTTTTTTCTTTTTTTTCTTTTTCTCTGGCCTTCTTCTCTTCTCCTTCTTCTTACATCGCGACTAATTCTGCGCTCAAAAAATCTTCGAAGTAGGAGAAGTATAAAGTGGCGCTCAGCGGGCCAATTATTGAAATTGATAGACCAAGAAGACAAAAGAGATATGAAGGGCCCCTGTTGGTGGAAGCGGGCGGTTGCAATGGACAAAGGGAAAGGACGTTAATAATAGACCCTCTAAATGCAACCCACGAGAGATCCTATAGTTGGTCCATCATTTTCCCCCTCAGTCTTTAACAATTACCCGTTTCAACGAATAGGATCGCTCCATACTCCCTATGTCTTCCTTATCCGTAGCTTTGTCTATTTGTTTCATAAATCAATCCGCGGATGATTTTGATATTCGCTCTGGATGGGTAGGATAACGGATCAGGGTGTCTATCGGTCCCAAAAGTCCCCAATGTCCCCGATTATCCCCGAAAGCCCCCAATTTTCTTGTTCGGGTCCCCAAAAAATGACAAAAATCGTCGCAAACTCCGGCATTTACAAATCTTCCCGCCAGCCGCGGCGGCGTGGTTTAACCAGGAACAGAAAAACTGAAGTGTTGCTTGGTTTTTCGGATGTTTTTATCGGTTCAACATGACTTTGAAAAGTTGTCGTATAAAATACGCCTTTTAACTCTCTAACTAGCTTCCTTCCCCTGAGTATTTCGAGAAAAAAAGTCCCCGAAAATGCCCAATTTTGGTTTTTTTTAACTGGTCCCTGTTTGTGTATTAGTTTGAATATAAATCCGCGGAAGATGTTGATCTTCGTCCTGCGGACCGATTATTGAAACTGATAGATAAAGCGGTTTTTGCTTCCTGCTGAGATGCGGCAAACGACAAGCAACGTACACCACGGAGTGTCACCTCTCAACTATCGTAACGTAAACACCGCGCTTTTGAAATTGATTTCCTCTTATCACTACTATTGTATTTTTGTAATGTAAATCATTGTACATTCTACATATTGTTTCTTTATCTACATGAGCTACGTCCTTTGAATTTTTGTGAAGCTTCTGTTTGTGTCAAAACAGAATGCTTCCAAGGATGCAAGAAGTATCAGTGTATGAATGTGAATCNGGTCTTCCACCGGCGCAACCCGAGTTCGATCCCAGGCGGAGACGTTTCATATTTTACGCTCGCTCCAAAGTCACTTTAGGGCTTGACACTACTTCTTCCTTAGTGACCCAGCCTCAAGCTGTTTAGTGCCCAGCACTCCTCTGACTTGCTGGCTCCATTTGACCTAACCCTCGTTAGTGCCCAGCACTAACATGTAGGTCCCAACCCTAAACTCGTTTTTTCCGTGTGTACAGCGCTTAGACGCCAGCCCTCAACTACTCCCCACTAAACGGCCAGTAGTGCTCAACACTAGTCTTGTTTTTTCCGTGTTGTTTCATAAATCAATCCGCGGATGATTTTGATATTCGCTCTGGATGGGTAGGATAACGGATCAGGGTGTCTATCGGTCCCAAAAGTCCCCAATGTCCCCGATTATCCCCGAAAGCCCCCAATTTTCTCGTTCAGGTCCCCAAAAAATGACAAAAATCGTCGCAAACTCCGGCATTTACAAATCTTCCCGCCGGCCGCGGCGGCGTGGTTTAACCAGGAACAGAAAAACTGAAGTGTTGCTCGGTTTTTCGGATGTTTTCATCGGTTCAACATGACTTTTAAAAGTAGTCGTATAAAATACGCCTCTTAACTCTCTAACTAGCTTCCTTCCCCTGAGTATTTCGAGAAAAGAAGTCCCCGAAAATGCCCAATTTTGGTTTTTTTTAACTGGTCCCTGTTTGTGTATTAGTTTGAATATAAAGCCGCGGAAGATGTTGATCTTTGTCTTTGGGGAGGATAAGGGGCGGACTTACTTGGACCACCGGATGTAGAACATCTCTAGATCGTCCTCAACGATGCCGATCTCCTCCTCCTGGTGGGCTTGGTTGAAGTTCTCCAGGATGATGGCGATGTACATGTTGATGACGATCATGTAGTTGATGATGATGAAGCTCGTGAAGTAGGTGATGGCCAACATGGGGTACCCGCAGTTGCCGTTGGGCAGGCCGCCGAAGTCCATCTCGCAGTGCGGCGGCTGCACCATCAGCGACTCCAGCACGTCGTTCCAGCCCGCCGACGTCATCAGCCTGATCAAAAAGCATCATTTTAACGCGAGTTGCCTCACAGGGTTGCCACGGGTAGGGGAAACCGGGAAATGTCAGGGGAAATGACGAAAATGTCAGGGAAAATGTGTTCAGTCACCTTCATTTGCTTTCTAGTGTGCTGGTTACACGCTCAAATTTCCATCAATTTCCGATCAAATGGTGACTGGTGCGCACCATCTACCATCAAATTTCTGCTGCCTGCAAAAATTTGGTGGTAGATGATGGAGCTGTGGGGCTCATCCTTCATCTGATTTCCACACAACCGTGCTTATTTCATGCTTATTTCAATTAACACGCTGTTTTGATTAATTTTACTCATCAATCTAGATAACTCTCGACCGCCATCTTGGTCATCATTTTGATCGGAATTTGACGGAAATTTAAGCGTGTAACCAGGCCATAAAATAGAATTTGGAAGGGTGTCCCCGATATCCCCGAAAATCCCCAATTTTCTTGGGCAGGCCCCCAAAAAATGACAAAAATCATCCCAGACTCCGGCATTCTGCGGAATGCGTGACTGACTCTCGAGTGGAGGATGCGTAGCGCGTGTCCTCTCATTTTCCGCCGAAAGGTCCCCCNGGGGGGGCACGGGCGACGCTTAAGGAGTTTTCACTTTCATTTCGTGGGTCTCTTCGAAGACCTAGATACATTTGAGCTAACTCACTGGATAGGGTTGCTTTCATCGCTAATTGTCATCTTATGGAACCAACGCCCGTCGATCGTCAGATTCTGACTCTGTACATTATTTCTTTGCAGGCTTTCAGAAATTAAATTCTGCAACCACGTCAGATAGCTGCGCCGCGCCACAGCCGGTTTCAAGACGAGCCTATACCTAGTGCGTTCATTGTCGAAACGTTGATATCTGATCGGGATCCTAGCTCGGTCTCATTATTTAAAGACATGTAACTCACGGGTTCAATCATGGGTCCGGATATATTCTTTGAATCCTTTTCGTCCGATAAGACCGAATAAAAATTTACTCCGTCATGGAGGACAGATCCAACACTTGTCCTTTGAAGCGCGTTCGTCAGTTGTACGAGATGCGTCGCTGGCATGAATACTTCCATTTATCAGTCTGATATAAATTGACTAAATAAGTAACTCAGTTTCCTTTAACTTTACTCATGAAAATGTTAAAATAGAGAATATATTATCTTTTAGGATCACTTTCCGGCCGTCAGACATAGAATTGGGCATAATAGCCAATGCCCGGCCTGTACAATTGGTTCGGTCCACCGTCAGTCGAGAAACATTGACATGAAAATGTTGCGTCAAATAATATCAATATATCATCTTACTAAGAAATTATTACAAATACTTTACTCAGATCAATTAGAGACAATAAGAAAGTGACTAACTCATAAACTGAACTTTTTCTCACTAAAAGCTGAGGTTAAATAGTATCAGCTGATACGTCTTGCTGACAACATTGTAGCGAGCTCAACTCAGTAGTTCCAACAAGCGCAGCACGCAGGGGCCGCAAGCAACTAAAGTTGCTCTATTGTCGTGGTATGGTATCATTTCTAATTGAAGGCGATTTAACCGCACGACTGCTTTCCGGAAAGCGTTGTGTGTCTGGTCCAGGGTGTAGCGAAAAATGTACAGTCGGATTTTGCTGAAATCTTGTGCCCTAATATAAAATGTGTAATGAATAAGCATTTTTTGAAAATCTGAAGAAAAATCTAAGGGAGTGTGTTCGCCAATTCCCCAGAGGTATGACTTTAAAGGAGACCTTTAAATGGAGTTGTACAAAGATTTTGCCATTGAAGTATTGCGTAAGGAAATCCTGAAACTCAAAAACCGATCGATACAATTCCCTGTCTTGGTTGCAAGAGACAACCAACATTCATTGGTATCGGTGCTGCTGAAAGAAGCACGAGTGCCTTGAGTTTGGCGCACAGCCTATTCATGAAAAACATTGTCAGGATTGAATACAAGAAGTAATGTCAGCACTCACGCACACTTTGCTTCATTTCTTGTAACGCGTTTCGGATCGCAGAAAGCGTTGTAAAGTAGTTAGGTCCTCTCACTAAATCAGTTTTTTATAATTTTTTGTAACAAAGATATATGAAATCATCATATTTTTATGAATTACGATTTTTCCTCGACGAGTCTTTTCGTAGTTAAATTCGTACCAAGAAGTATACAACTGTACAACAACAAACTCCTTCAATATTTTTTATCGTATTATCGAGGTATGCATTATAACCATTCGTCAGGAACGTTTCATTTATCAAGGACTTTCAACTGATCGTGAGACACTGATTGCGTTCAACAATTATTCAGAACAGAAGGAGTGGGTGAAGAAAGCAAGAAAAATATTTAAAAATCAAGAAGATGAAATCAATGTTAACCCAGCGGGCTGATAGTTGAAATCTTTAAACAAAGCGATGGACGCAGAAGACATGAGGGAAAGAAGGCGATCCTATCGATGGAAGCCGGTGGTTTCAATGAACAAAGAGGGTAAGTAATAAACTAACTAACGGCAACCCACGAGAGACCCCATAGTTAGTGTATCATTTCCTCTCTTAGTTTGTAACAACCACCTGTTTCAACCAATAGGAATGCTCCATGTCACGTATGTTTTCTTTGTCCACTACTACGAATGATCGACCCGCTTGAAGGATTAGCTGACTGAAGGAACTAACGACCGCTGGTGAATATAGTATCCTAAAAGTAACGTGAATGTAGTGGAAAGTTATATTACCTGAACAGAAGTTGCATACTGCGACCAAACGTGGTAAAATTGACCATGTCGTCCAGCGCTCGTTGTTGTTTAACGTGTCCAAAAAGTGACATGCCTATGATAGCGTATATAAACGTAATTAAACCTAAAAGTGCGCCTATGTTGAAAAGGGCCGGCAGAGACACCACTAAGGCAAATAGTAATTTTCGGATTCCCTTGGCGGCCTGTGAACAGAAAATATTGAGACTACGTTACGTTCACACAGAATGAAAGGTTTAATGCTTGTTTCTTCTGAAAAAGATTAATCGAAAAGTCATTCGCGGCACTCGGACCGCCGGCAGCCATGACAGGTCACGAGAAACGCGAATGAGGTTAATTAAAGAAAAATAGACGACGCGCAGTTACTTTACTTAAATTTGGAAAACAGTCGTCCGCGGCACTCGGACAACGTCATAACAACGTCAATGAGACATAAAGAAGTTCATTATAACAAAATCACACTTTCTGTATTACGGCTGTTTATCTCATGAAATTATTTTTTTTAAAATAATATTCTATCCTTATTACAAAGATAATTTCTTTTTATTGTTGACTCGACTCAACACATATCAAAACTTCATAAACATGACGTTTGTAACGAAGCACATGGGGCTCGTTGTAAGGGATGGAGCTGTTCAAGGAACGAGCATGCGCGTACTACCTTATTTTTCTACTCGTTTTGTGTCCCATTCTACTTTTTCCAAAAATTATAAATTGGGAGTGTCAAAAGCTTAAGAAGAAATTGGGGTTTGAATGGTTTTTCGGACTAACCTTGATGAGGCGCAGTATCCGGCCGATCCTGAAGACTCGGACTACCCTGAGGAGTGTGGGCGAGACGGGGAAATCTATCATGATATCCTCCATCAAGATGCCCAAAATTGAAGCCATTACTAAAAGGAAGTCGAACATGTTCCACGGGACAGTGAAATAATGATGCCGCAGACCCATCATTTTCACTAAGGCCTCTGAAAGCAAAGCAACCACCATGTATTCTTTCCGCTCCCTCATTCTAACTTGTGGAAAATGTGATGCGAGCGGCCAGCCGCTCCTGTAGCTTGTCCTTTGTATGGCATTAATATAAAGTACTTCCATTTTATCTTCGGAAACTACACCAAGAGCAAAGTTCTCTGATTCCTGTGGTATTTATTTATCATTTCGTTCTTTGGTACACAATGACCTGGATACCTGTTCTTTGGTTCTATGAACCCTCCGGCTTAAGTATCACGAGCGCCGAGAGACTTGTCAACATTGTCACCGCCATTTTATTTTATTTTATTTTATTTTGTTTATTTTCACAGAGATATTGTTCAACGAAGCTGTCCAAAAATTTCACTGGATTTTCTTTGTGCTGCCGATAAAATATCGTGACATTTTAAAACATATTCAACCAGAATTTCTCTGTGAAAAAATAAAGTGGAGGCGGAAATATTGTAATGTCACATGGCGCTTGCGATACTTCGACCGAAAGGTGATGATATTGGCGAATAAAGCAGCCAAGATACAAGTCTATCATCCTCAAATTCGAGGCTAATGCAGGAAACAATTGAATTTATGTGAACTTGATGTTGAATTCTTGAGACTTTTAGAGAAGTTTTAATGTCTAGACTTGTAATTATGCCTAGGAATTAAATTAGTTGGTCTAACAATCGCAGTATCGTCAATGGCGTGTTTTATACCTTCAAATATATAACGTGACGGTAAAGTGAAAAGCCCATGGTTTTTAATCAACCGTTTACAGCGATAGTTGAAAGGTGTATTGAAGATATACGAATCACTATAATGTAGAATAATACGATTCACCGTATTTTGTTTAATAAGTACTCAAGATAGACTCCGCACCACTCCAACCATTCTTCAATGGAATCTCGGAGATTCTTTAACTCTTGCATGAGAGGTTAATGCCGTATTTCGTCTCTTTCCTAAATTTTCCCTTAATTTTTCTCGTCATAAAGATATAGGATAATACCTGCCAAATAATAACGTATTTTCTGTTAAAGGGTGCCCATATTGCTCGCAAAGAATAAGGACCAAGTTATTTTAGCATTCATATTAAAAATACAACGAATGATATGCTTGTCGATACGAAATCTAAAGATAAGATACTCATTCTTATAGAATTTTCATCCTTGAGTCAATATGTAAATTAAATCGGTTTTTTTTCCAAGATATTTTTCCGATCTAGTATGACCGTTTTGTCCGTCGTAATATTTTGCCCCGGCATCCTTTCGGGTTTGCCCTATTTCTCGTGTATTGAATCTAATCGAATACGCAGTTTCAGCGGACAACGAGAAATGACCCATTGTCCGTCGCTCTTGGATATCACAATTATTGTTATTATATTATCACTTGAGCATAAACAAAAGCAATAATGACTGCACCACTCACCTAAGCCGAAAACAGTAGTAAAAAAAGCGTTGCTAACTTCCAGTACAAAAAAAATTGCGTGGTCTTGATTGTAATGTTCTATACCCATACTTAACATATTTAAAAAAATTAGTACAAAGATTGCGATTTCAAATCTAGAACATAAAAAAGAGCGGACATCGGTTAACAATTTTGGAAATGCGAAATGAATGTGAGAATATGCGCAAGTGGCAACACACTGAATTGAGACACTCTTTGTAGGAACGACGCTTAAAGGAATTTCAAGTTTCGAGAAAAAAGTTGATGAAGTGTTCTGAATGGGACAAGCGTCAATTTTCGAACTTTTCAGCGCACCTAAAAGATGTGCCAAGTTCGTGCCGGTAACTGCTCAATTGACTCAGTGGAGTCAGGAGTCAGGGTAAAGTGATGTAATACGTGGGTTATGTTGCACACTTAAGATCTATTTGACGAAGTGCAGTACATCAGGTGTACCCACTCTGCGGCAAATAAATGGAAATGCAAATGCAAATAAATGGTTCTTGAGGTGTAGTTATCGATTTGTGAGCATTCGGATTGTAAACATTCCTGAAGTTCGCCGAAAGTTGGATAAGTTTTGGAATCCGCGCGATTATCCTCAAAACTTTTTCTGAGACCGAATGATAATTTTCGAATTACTACCGCTGTTAGTAGAATGGAGTAAGAATCCTTTTCAATTTTGAGTGCGGATAATGCATTCATGTGTTCACTAATTTTGCACAAGAGAGCCGGCAACGCTGTGCTTTGATTGGCGTCAGGTAACTCTAGAAGACTATTGAGGTGATGGTGAATATGTCTCCTATCGTTTTTTTAGCGCAAGCACAGAGCCTCCCATGCCGCTTTGTAGTTATCGCCAGTCAATTCTAACGTTCCTACTAACTGCCGGGCTTTGCCGTCAAGTTTAGATCCTTTTCATTCTTTTTTGAAGATTTCGTTCCGGCATCGCCTTTTTTGGCTTTGGGCGGTGCAGATTTATCTCTTTTCAGAACAGATTTATTGAAATTTCTCAACATCTGACAAATTGTTAGATTTATTTATATACTAGCTTCGAATAAATTGTAAAAAACCGACCATTCAGTTATTTCGCCCGTTAATTTCGGTAAATCCAGCTTAGGCAACCTTATTTGGGTTTTAACTTTTTCCTCAGGCGCAGCTGGACCAGTTTTTGACTTTTCTTCAGCTTTAGACTTATTTTTGAGGTACAGTACTTGGGCACTAATCACTAAATCTTCAAAAGCATTTTGGGCTGCATCGACGGGGAGCACCTGTTCCTTTGGAACTTCAGAGTTGTATCTTAAAATTTCCGCTCGGAGATAATCCATTTTAGTCTGCAACTCGTTGATACGTTGAACGACATATGGACGTATTTCTGCCAAACGGAACTATGTGCAATATGACGTGAGCCCTATCATGCATATATACTTATGGGTCTCAGGGCTCACGTCTCAATGCACATAGTTCCGTTTGGCATAAATACGTCCATTTTGAAATCGAATCACGGTAGCGGGAGTGATTTCAGCATTCATTCGATCAGCTAGAGCTTGAACTCGAGCGAAAATGTCCTCTCGTTGTATTGAAAGGATTTTCAGCTTGTCATAAGCGTGTTTCTGTTGAGATCCCTTGGGATCGTCATTAAAATTTCCTGTCATCCTGGTTAAGTAATCAAATTGACAGAAAAAATAAACTTACAAAAAAAATGAAGAGTAACCGCCAGTTATTAGTTACGAATTGTGAGACAGTATTTCCTAGCGCTTTAATTCGACATAACGTTATTAGAGTTAAAGTGATCCGGCCCGAGGGACCATGAATTAAAATGGGCCTTTTTTTACAGGCTCCTTTGGAAATGAATTGCCGGATCAATTTGTTAAGTTGTGATAGTTCTCTCAGAATAAAGACGGGATAGTAGCAGAGCCCGTATAGAAATGAAACTCTAAATTCATCAAAGAGAACGAATGGAGAAAATAATATAATTAAATGAAAAAGGGTTCTGAAATAAGTAGAAGAGCAGTCTTAGACGGACGTGCGCGCCAAAAGAAGAGCAGCTTTAGACGGGCGTGTCTCTTAAAGCATGAGGAAAGCAGCCTTAGACAGGCGTGCTTTTTAAAGCATAAAGAAAGCAGCCGTAAACGGGCGTGCCTCTTGAAGAAGCCTTAGACGGGCGTGCTAGCTGTGAGTGCTTTGAACGAGAAATAGCAACTGAACTGAAAGTATGGCTCCTGCCGCGGTATTTATAAGGGTGGTCACAAAATCATGAAGGGTGGCGTGATTTGATTACATAATCGGTGATAACTGTCCTGGCAACTGCCCTGGGGTGGTAACTGGTTATACAACCGCTTATCCTGCCTCAGCCTGATTATGCAACCATTAAGTGAAAAAATAAAATTTTTAAATCCTTGGCGTGTCGAATGCCAGAAAAACAAATAAACTAGAAATTTAAAATAAAATACGAATCTCTTAATTTGCATGTCCAGCTTGGGCGAAATAAACACAAAATTGACTCTTGTCCCATTCATGTTCAAAAGCGTATATTTTTTGAACCACTGCTCCAATTTTAAAAATCTAAAGCTTTTTAAGGAGAACAAACTATCGCTAGCCATCGTGCAAAACTTCACAGGGCTGGCGCACGAGAAACGGACTCGCGGCAGTGGAATGTCGCTTAATTTATACGGCATTTCTCCAGAGAACGATTAATTCTCGCACTTACATTCTGACTAAAATGAAATATCTGGAACCGGTTGAAGGGGAATGAAGAGAAATTCAAATAGGTTTTAGTTTACATTATATTTGTTGGAAAAAATACAAAAAAAAAAAAAAATAATCCCTGTCTAGATCCTGTCGAGGCAATTTTTGTTGCAATTGTTTTCGATAATTATCAGGCACATCTGCTTCTAGGCTTGACTGCCGGGGCGCGCCAAAGCGTGCAAAGTCTGTTTTCCATCACAGTTGTTTGCAGCTTTTGCGACCCAATATTTTCAATCACATTTAGTGTCTCAACTTAAATTAAAATGTTTGTACCAACATTGGGGCCAACCTTATTTTAGGATAATGGCAATTAGTTCGGGTACATCGACATGCGTTGCAATCAGTTACGTAAAGGTTTCCCTTTATTGATTTTTTCTTTCCGGTATTGTAGTAACAGATAAAGACCGTATTTTTTAGGAAAGTTATGCATGCTATTTTTTGAAATTTGAAGATTTTTTAGATGAAATTATTAACAAAACTGTACATTATGAAGAAAAATAAGAACAATTTTCCAGGTAAATTCGTTTTTTTTAAATGAAATACGGCAACGTCTGAGGGCTCACACAGCAATCTTCTTTAGCATGGCAAAATGGTTTTCAGTTCAAATGTTCAACTTTTTGTTCTTTATAGCCCAAAAGTTACGAGGGCCTTAGAAGTCCTTTCAATCTCGCAGTTCAGGAAGTTCCGATACTTGTACAAAAACTAGAAACTGAATATAAACTTGTATTGGTGTGGGTATCAGACCTTACGAAAGGCACTGCGCTGGCAAATTTTTGTTACGGACTGGGAGAACCTTAAACGAGTTTAAAAGTGAAAGCATGCAGTACAAAGATCCATAAAAAAACACCTTACCTCCTAGAATTCGAAAGATCATAAAACATGGCGAGGAATTGATTTAACGGCCTTTTTATGACCTTCTGGGGTTTTTTACGACCTAGTTTCTTCATAGCAGTATAATAATGCTTCTGACTTTCCGTTAGAAACATCTCCAGCACTCCTCCTTCATACTGCAACAAATTCCGAAGAAACAATCAACCTAATTGCTAAGACTGCCAGGTCCTTTCAAAGAATCACATAGATCTATAATTCCATGTTCGCGAAGGGGTTGTTTGAAGTGGATTCATAGAACAAGTACTGTTCATTAATATCTTCAACAAGGTAGTTTTGCATTGAATATCATAAGTATACTAATAATGAGAACGTAATATGGGATGCAATTATACAGCCTTTGCTGTAGCCCCAGGTGGTATCTACCCATGCTGAAGGCGCTTTTGCGGTTTTCCTTCTCCGCGTACAGCTCTCATTGTGTTATTTTCTACATTTTTAGCGTATTGATTGTCAACATCGGTACGATTGAGTAGTGTTGATCGGAAGCGGAATTGTGCCCCATCATTGGCGGATCCAACAATTCGACAACATTGCTTTTCTCCATTCAAACCCATGGAAATGTATCATTTCTTGGAGGGGCCAGGTGTTCCGACAAGAATCGATTTTTTAATATAGCTTTAAATGGAGGAGATCCAATGTTGCCGAACTACTGGATCCGCCTCTGGCGCCTTTAGCATAATACATACATCTCGTTTATCTGTATTTTGTTCGGGTGAAACGGATCCACTACTGAGGAATTAACAATCAGTGTTCGCGAGAATTATTCGAAATCTCACCGTTTTCTCCTCAGGGTTAAATTAAAAAAAGCAGTAATAAATCTATTTCGCCGTGGACGTCAGCAGTCTTGTTCCTGAACGTCTTACAGCGGAAATAAGTGGCTTAGCGGGAGCCCCACTAATCTTATCCTAGTCTTGGGTGTAGTAAAACTCTTTGTTAATCCCTCACGGATTCACGTCTTGAGTCTGGAATCCTTTTAATCCCGACAAACCTGGTGGCTAGGCTTTATTAGTCTCGCTGAGCTGCTCTTTGGTTAATTCATGATGTTTTCACGTGCTTTAAGCACCGTCGTTGTCCTAATCGCATTTGTGATGATTGTTCGAAGGTTGAAACCAGTCGACAAACGATTTAAAAATGCGAATTGATTACCAGTTTCATTAATTTATCTGACGGGCCACTTAACAAGGCGGAATTTAAGGCATGTCTCACAAGTTTTTTCCTCAAGATTTCACAATAAACGTTTAGTACGACAGCCCTACCATAACCAGTGACAAATCTGTGACACAAGTTTTGGCCACTTAAATCGATAGCCTTACACGCGCTGACACGGAAAATCTTTGTCTGCCACGTTGTGGTGTGTGCCAACACGTAGCTGACAACCAATTTTAGTGTCGGTGCAGATTTAAGCTGTCAAAATATGTGCCCCGAGTTGGTGACCAAATGCCATCAAGCTCTCGGACTAACATTTTCAGTAAAGCTCCCATGAATCAGAAATAATCATAAAATCCATCAAGTCGTGGCAAGGCCCAGCCACAACTAGCCCCAAATTATTTATTTCTTTAAGCATATTATCTTTTATCATAGGGCTACATTGAGGTCATCCTTGTGTAATGCAGTTCTCCAAATGTCTTTACTTTTTATATCATCACCACTTGTTTGACAAATGTTTGAAATCTTGTAATGTATCATGCACGGAGAAAAATCTATGGCTTTATAAACCAAAAAGAGGTTCATCAAAGAACACCACTAATAGTCGTAAATGATTCTCGGTCCGTAAATCATACTAAGGTATATGTGTTATTATTTTACGACCCAAAAGTTTTTCTCAGTGCAAGGAGTTTCCAATTGAATGAAGAAAACGATTACCTTTTTTTTGAGCATATTGAAGTTGTCGATGATAACTCCAATGAACAAATTGAGCGTAAAAAATGAACCACAAACAATAAAAATAACAAAATAAATGTAGGCATAGAGGTTCGCTTCGAAATGAGGCTGGAGGTCGACCCCGCGCACGTCCACCGCATCGGCCATCACCTCCATCCAACCCTCGAAGGTTGCCTATCGCAAAGAAAAGGATAAACGTTAACATTTTAGTCGTCGACAATTCCATTGATATTACAGAGCATAGTCCTATCTCGTGGCTTACTCTAAGCCAACAATTATTTTGCCAGCAGCTGCCTCAGTACTAACACGGTATTGCTCTGATATAATTATTCTATAGTGCTAGGTAACAACGCCCTAAGTGCATTCGAGAATTGCAAAATTTCCTCCAATTAAGTGTCTATTCTGAGGAGGGTCATGAATGTTTTTTCTTGAAATTTTCAGAAAATTTTCAGGTAACAGATCTAATTATGAATACTATTTTCTGAAAATTAATGGTAATCTTTCAGAAAATCTTCAGATAACGGATCTAAATACGAATTCTGAAAAATGAGAGGAAACATATTTACAGATGTTCCTGAAAAAGCGTATTTTTACAGAGGAAAGTTAGCAACGTCAGATGGCTCATACGGCGTTTTTACTTAGCAAGGTATTATTACTGGGTGAGAAGACATGCACAGGCGTTACGTTACAAGAACGCGCCTTTGATATTAAACCTGTGAAATGTGAAAAGAAGCGATACATTTTTTCGAGGCAACGCGTTTCAAATTTTCAATCGACATCGGTCCATTCAAAGCCGGAAATAGCAAGCTCATTTAAGTCACCACCGAACCTTAGAAGGGTCGCAGTGCGAACTGCAAAATCAATTCCACCTTGCTTCGCCTAGAGAAACTGATCCGTTGACTATGAAGCTTTTTTTCGCTGAGAAGACATAAACTGAATTTAAAAAACTTCATCAGCTCGATATTTTTATGAATAACTCTTTTTCTTAAAGACGTTTTTTTCATACACACATAAGTTTATCATCAGCGAGACTCTATTTTGGAGTTAGCGGCGCATTTTATCTGAATTAAAATAGAACTTCCTCCGCCCGGAAAATTGTCTTTGAATTTGAGTTATTTTCCCTTACATAAAATGTTCCCTATACCCTTTTTGCAATAGAGAAAATTTTGTGGATTATGCCCATCCATGAGCACAAGGTCAATTAGTAGATTTGCAACGATACCTAATAAAATGAATCTAAACATGGACCAATACTTACCACTTGAAATAATGCAAGGTAGGCGTTCCCAACATTATCAAAATTAATTTTTGAATTTATCCACGTATAATTGAGCGACATACATTCCCTGAAATCGTTAACAACCTGAAATGATACAAAATACACAATGTAGCAGAGCCGCTGTGAGAACACAACGGAAAAATATCGATCATTTTTTAACATCATAAGTGCAATGTATGCGGCGAAGCGCTGATAATATAATCACAAGGGACAATCGTTTCGGAAATTATTTTGGGTTTCAACTCATTAAACGTCGCAGATATGCCGTGTTGCAATGAATTCTAAACCCATTTAAATCTCGACCAACGTGTTTTCAGGGATGCAATCGAATATTAAATGTGATTGACAAGGTTTGATGATAGTGTGATGTTCTTGAAAAAGGCTATGTAGTCCATGCAGGACTGCTAAATAGCACATCTGGTTGTGTGCCCTGATATTTCACCTGCTGTGTCCCTCCAAGCAGGAATGAATGTCCTCTTTAGTACATCTTTAAAACTAAATGCTTACGAATACACAATTTTCTTTCAACAAAAATCAGTTGAAGAAATTTTTGAAGTTGAATTTGAAGAAGAAGAAATTATGACTATGGATTCTATTTGTTCATCAACATTTAGACGGCGAGTACTTAAAAAATGTTCATCGATGGAAGTACCATGTTTCACGAACAACGGAGTGTCCTTAAGGTAATGCAGTGCATCTGCAACCGCAGATGGACGAATCGTCTCATACATGGAATAATAGCCAGGGTCTACCTGCCTTTTATACCTTAAGTTTCAATACGGTTGCCATGTTATCGAATTTTTGAGGGAAAAACGGTCACCATGTCATCGACCTACACATCCTACCTTTACAATACTACATTTTAGTCCTAGCCACGGATTAATGTATGTGCGCGGTTTCAACGGGATAATTTCCATAAAATTAATGTGCGAAGAACACATGCGTTCCTCCGAGTTTCAAAACTAGACATACCGGAATATCTGGAACTTTCAAGCCATTGACCATTTTCATCTTTTTACCATATTACGTGGAGATATCATGATCAGTTTCACTCATATTTCAAGTTTTCTCGGTCATAATGGTCTATCAATTGGTTCGATTATGCAAAGAATGAGAAAAGAACCCAATTCTACTCGGCTAAAGCGACACTTCTGTCTTTTACTGTGAGACTTGAGTAGTTGTTTTCCCTTCTTCAGCCATAACTTTAAAACTTAAATTGAAATCCACATTACGTTAATTGATAAGTAATATTTCATAAGTGAATGATACTTACTGTAATTGGCAGTAATTCGCCCTCTTCGTCTACACATTTAAAAAATTTGCCTCCAAAAAATTGGACGCCCATAATAGAAAATATTAACCAAAAAACCAAACAAACTAAGAGCACGTTGAAAATTGATGGGATGGCATACATAAGCGCATTTACAACAATCTGAAAATAGAAGAAGTACAAGGAATTAACGATTCTGCGCGTTACTGATAAACATGGGTGTTTTTTCTAATGCTTTTGAGTTACTGTTTTTTTTTCTGGAACCCAATGTTTTTCGATAAGTTGTTTCTTCCTCGAAAGGAGTTGTTTTGAAATTAGCCCCTTTCAAAATTATTTTACGATTGTATATGAGTCATTCCTTGCAGGAATGGTCTATGATCTTTTAGTGCTTCTCACATAATGCCTTTCAGTTCATCATTCGTAGCTGACTATTTTTAAAGTCCTTCTGTAATTTTCCCCTGCACTGGAAAAAAAAAACACATTGAATCTAGAGTCCAGACTCTTAAAAACGTCGACAAGAAAGAAAAACTCTTGATTCAATCAGATTTAAGCTTAAATCAAGAACCAGCAACCAAGCGGATTTCCTTTTGATTAGCCTCGAAGATATGTTTTTTCCTCGTTTTAAAATTAAAAGTTTTGACAGACAAAATTGTGTAATCAGACGGGACTTAACCTTTACATTATTACATTTTGTATTTAAAGGCAGACTTTAACTTACCCGCATACCCTGCCACCTGGAAATAGCTCGTAAAGGCCGCAAAGCTCGTAAAGTTCTTAAAGATCGAAGAACCTTTAAGTTTTCATTTTCTTCTATTAATAAGCTAAAAATTGAAACCTGAAATCAAACAACATTTTTAAGTTAGGCCTCTATTTTGCCGCGGAAACTTGAAGTTAATGGAACTTGAAACTATTCGAATCCATGTGTGTCATTATTAACGCTTCTCCCTGTCATCATCTGCCTCTCACTCTGGATTCTGGGGCGGCAAATTTTAAATTATCCAATGTTAAAGTGGTCTTTCTAACATTCACCGGTCAACTCAAAGAAATGTCAACACGATCGCAGTTTTTCAACCAGTTTTGAATTTGTGAAGCTGTGTGCCACTAAAGTGTAAAGAATCATTTCTTGGATTTTTTGTCGAGAAAGTCGCATTAAAATGTTTACTAGAAAATTTATAAGCGAATTTTCGGGATCGAATATCATTCACCGTTGAATGATATTCGACGATTGTGCATTTTTTTTTCAATGATATTCGACTTCTTCGTTGGTCTCACCAGAGACCGTTGAAATCCATCAATTTGAAATTTCGAATTCACCTCGGGACTTCAATTCGATTTTTGAATTGATGCAATCGATGTCAGAAACTTCATCTCTCACCAAAATTTTTGTTCTGTCATCTCTATCTGTTGTTGTGTTTTGTCAATTCAAGTCTGGTGTTTTCGCAATTTCTGTGTTTTAGTGTTTCGTGATTTCTTATTTTCCTCTTAATTTCATTTAGGAAAAAAATCTGAGCTCTGATTGGCTCCTGATATCACCGATCATCGGCATCACTCAGCACTGATCAATTCGTTTGATGAATGACATTCGATCGCGAAAATTCGCTTTATGTCGGGTTTGAGCTAATTCTGCAAAGATGTCAATCGGAGTCTCCTCGCAAGAGAAGGCTAAGAAATACCTGAAGCGGAAGACATAGATGTCTTTTGTTGTTTTCTATCAGTTGTTTTTTTTTTGTGAGTGTGCATGTTTGTGTTTTTTTTTACTTTTTTTTTACTTTACTTTACAGCGCCCAATTTTCTCAGAAAGTAAATCTTATTTGTGGGGGCAACGGAAAAGGTGCATTTGTAAAGAGATATGCCGCGTCTAACTCGATGCCACTCCGTTATTTCATTTACGAGGCAGATGAATTTCTTCAAATAAAATACGAATTTTCAAAGAAACTGTCAGATATTCGTCCTCCGATTTTTCATACACTTTTTTACACTCTCTCTAGGCTAAACCATCTCAAACTTTCTAACGGGAAACTACGCATAACTTTCCTCAAAAATCCATGTTTTATTCGGGGAAATTTGGCAACTCCCGAATGTACATAGGGCATTTATCCGGTGGCAAGGGAGAGTAGAAATGGTGGATTACTCACAAAAACAATGATAAAATCTAGGACCGTCCAGAAGGAGGTGAAGTACTTGTGAAAGCCCATGGCGAGCCACTTGAGGACCATCTCGACGCCGAAGAGGAAGCAGAACCCGACGTTGGTCCAGTAGAGGACCGCCTTGAGGGTCTTGTTCTCGTCCAGGTAGATGTCCTCGAAGCAGAGCGTCACCGAGGAGGCGAAGATGAGCACCAGGATGAACCACTCGAACACGCTCGTGTCCACCACGCGCAGCACCCGCGTCCGCACCCCCGTCCAGCGCGGCCCGAACCACCGGTCCACGCACTCCTTCGTGCACGGACCCCTGGGGACAAAACAAGATCTCGCTTGTAACCATGTGCGTCGTTTACTAAAAATACCCTCAATGAAAGTCAGGGGAAAAAGAAGGGGAGAAAATCGTCCAGGAAAACTGCCACGCAATATCCTCCCTTCTCGAGAGAATCATCAATGAATTTATTGATACGGTGTAATTGATCCTCCGTGGAAGGTTAGCTCGAAAGCCGAATTGATGATCAAAGTTTGTTTGGATACTTTTTCATTCAGCCTTTTACCATACAGAGTTATTCAAAAGTCACGCACCACTGACCATAACTTCAGTTCTAATTACACCTCCTTGATCAAGTTAGCTTTCCCTCATAGTAAACCCTGGTAAAAATTGGCGGTAAGAGCTGCGTTTCAAAATACCGTAGAAATTCTTATGGCCGGCTAAAGAAGGCTACAGAAAATCATATACCGGGTGTCCATAAAGTAACTGAAAAGTGGGTATAATTTTTGAACAAAAAAAGATAGAAGGTCGCGGTTTGTGGCATTCTTCATCATATAAAAGGGGAAATTTTTCGATGGGGGCTTTTCCTGGTGGACCCCCCTGGGGGGGCCCCAGGGGGGGCAACTTCAAAAATTCAAATGGCAACCCCCATTTTTTTAGACATGGTTAAAAAGAACTTAAAAAGACAAGAAAAATGGCGCAAATAAAATTAAAATCGGTTATTTCGTTCAAAAGTTACAGCCGGTCAAAGTTTTAAATTGACCACTTTTCAAAAAATCGCCGATGAGCTCCAAATTATTGGAAAAACAAAAACAAACCAGGAATGAAAAGTTTGAAAAGTGCTTATTAGGAAGAGGAAAAACAACTGACGTTGTCACAAGTCTGGATGACATTGTTTCAAAATAAAATTTCGGAAAATTCAACATGGCGGCAAATTTGAGGAAACGCAAAAAATGAAAATTCCAGAAACAGTTATCTTTCAAATACCCTCTAGTTTAAGGAAATCAAAGGTATCAACTTTTATTCCTTTATTTGGCCAAGTGAAAGCAATAATTTGCTGACTTAAAAGTTGTCAAGCGGGGTGCCTTCAATCGTTGGAGTATGCGACATCACAGGATTAAGTGTGCTGTCGAAAAATGAAGCCGATGTGAAAAAGCTCTCCTCCTTTGGGATGCTTTAGAAATTTTCAAGGTCCTCCTTCTCAAATTAAACGAGAAAAACGAAGAAAAGTAAAATTTAGAAAGTTTTACCCACAAACTTGGCGAGCCAAAAAAACATGATTTATCCTGGTGGGGTAGGGGCGGTGGACATTTTTGACATTTCTATCTCTGAAAATTAAAAATTTAAGAATAATTTTAATTCTCTAACTCCTGGCACTCCAATTTGGCAAGGAGGATATCTGCTACGCTTCCAATTCCGAAGACGCCGTTCTACTCTTGATTATTATCTGAATTGGGATTATCTTATTGACAGTCTCAACCTTACGATTTGAGACACCTATCTTTTCGGTAACATCTGATGCACTATCTGATCGGTGACACGGTGAAGCGTAGCAGATATCCTCCTTGCCAAATTGGAGTGCCAGGAGTTAGAGAATTAAATTTCACTTTTCTTCGTTTTTCTCGTTTAATTTGAGGAGGAAGACCTTGAAAATTTCTAAAGCATCCCAAAGGAGGAGAGCTTTTTCACATCGGCTTCATTTTTCGACAGCACACTTAATCCTGTGATGTCGCATACTCCAACGATTGAAGGCACCCCGCTTGACAACTTTTAAGTCAGCAAATTATTGCTTTTACTTGGCCAAATAAAGGAATAAAAGTTAATACCTTTGATTTCCTTAAACTAGAGGGTATTTGAAAGATAACTGTTTCTGGAATTTTCATTTTTTGCGTTTCCTCAAATTTGCCGCCATGTTGAATTTTCCGAAATTTTATTTTGAAACAATGCCATCCAGACTTGTGACAACGTCAGTTGTTTTTCCTCTTCCTAAAAAGCACTTTTCAAACTTTTCATTCCTGGTTTGTTTTTGTTTTTCCGATAATTTGGAGCTCATCGGCGATTTTTTGAAAAGTGGTCAATTTAAAACTTTGACCGGCTGTAACTTTTGAACGAAATAACCGATTTTAATTTTATTTGCGCCATTTTTCTTGTCTTTTTAAGTTCTTTTTAACCATGTCTAAAAAAATGGGGGTTGCCATTTGAATTTTTGAAGTTGCCCCCCCTGGGGCCCCCCCAGGGGGGTCCACCAGGAAAAGCCCCCATCGAAAAATTTCCCCTTTTATATGATGAAGAATGCCACAAACCGCGACCTTCTATCTTTTTTTGTTCAAAAATTATACCCACTTTTCAGTTACTTTATGGACACCCGGTAAGTGGCTGTAGAATGCGGAGAAAATCATACGGCCGCGGGCTGTTTGAAGCGATAAAAAATTATGCAGCCGGGCTATAGTTCCTATCGCCGGACTGTACACTTTATCGCTTGGCTGTTGCTATTTTGCCATCGATTATAAAAGGCTATAAGAAATTGTGTAGACATTCGTGTGCTTTGGAAATCATCGAGTTTAATACGGAACCACCTTAATATTTACAAAACACACATTATATTTTCCTCTAGTACATATTTTTTTTCATCGATTAAAACGAGAATAATCCATTCAGGATGTGCAAACATTTCAAACTCATGAGTTAAATAACGCTAACTTCGCCAGATTAAATACCAGAGCCTAACACAAAGCAGAGCGGCGACGCACTGGCGCCTACAAACCTAACAGGGATACTTCACGCATTGCGCAACGCGTGAAGTATCCCTGTTAGGTTTGTAGGCGTCAATGGCTGCCCGCCTGCCGCAACGCAGCGTGCCACGGCGCTTGAAGCAACTATTTCACACCAGAGGTATTGCACAGCATCATACGAAACTGAAGGCGTTCTAATATATTAGGAATGACAGGCATCCATCAAAAGTACGGAGCTTTCCTCGCAAAATAAATCAAGATACTACGGCCCAAAAAGAGAGCAGTGGTTCAAAAACCCACTGAGTCCTAGCATTCGTAATTAGTGACGTGTAGCATACACTTTATCGCCTGGCTGTGAGTTGCTTAATCGCCATCGGCTATAAAAGGCTTTAAGAAATTGTGCAGCCGGCTGTAGAAGCTATGGGAAATCTTTATGTATCCAAAATTGGGAATCATTGGATCTCTGGTTCTCACATCCGAAATACTCACATCTGAAGTACTTCAGATGTAAGAACTGAAGTTTCGGATGTGTGGTCCGAACCTCGACAGCTAGACCTTAAGTGTTCAATGCTCAATCTGGAAATTTCAGAGATCCATATGACCTAAACTTCGGGTCCCACGCACGAGGTTTTTTCCTCCGTGCGGTGAAGAACCTAACCCAGAAACGCTTCATAGTTAGTTTTCATCTGTACGTGTAAAACTCAGAAAAAATGAAGTCGGCGAATGCGTTATTTCACGTCTTGCAAGTTTACGTTTAAGGTGTGGGAATATTTGGCTGACCTCTGATAGCAGTGCATGGGGAAGCAGTCTTGAGGCGTCCTGTTCTTAGCGTTTCGGCCAAAGCCCGGGAAGGAGCCCATGCCGTCGATGTAGCGGCCCTTGGAGTCCCGGCGCCCGCCCACCGTCAGCTCGTCCACGTACGACACGAGAGTGAGCCACGGCTTCTTCGGCGTCGGGATCCGCTCCGCCTTCTCCTCCTTGAGCGGTTTCGCCTCTTCCTCTGGAGATCCCACTGGGCAAAACACAATCACAGATTCAGTCGATTCGCTCTCATGAAAAGCCAAAGGAAAAAAAGAGCAAGGCCAAAAAAATGAAAAAAACGCATTTGATTCAGAGTCCAGACTCTTAAAAACATCGTCAAAAAAAAGCACTCTTGATTCAATCAGAATCTAGCTTAAATCAAGAACCAAGCCTCTTAATTTAAGCGGATTTCGTTTTGATTCAAGCAAAAATCCGAGTGAATCAAGAGTATTTTTTCTTGTCAACGTTTTCAAGAGTCTGGACTCTGGATCCAATATGTTTTTTTTATTTCCAGTGTGCAACTCCAAAAACCCGAGACGCTTCCACTCTTAAGTGAGTTATTTTCAGTCGGAAAAAACAATGAAAATTAAGAAAAATCGAAAAAAAAACTTGAGCCCAATATGACCTCCATGTTCTTTCCTGATAATGTTTTACTTCTTAATTATTTTCCGAAAATGACTCAGTTTCGAGTCCAAACTTGTTGGATTTTTAATGTTGTATACTGTCAGTCTTGTTTCCCGTTTATCAACGTTGTTTTATTCATTCAACGTTGGCTTATTTTCCTTTTTATTCATTACGTTAAGAATTTACAGCCATCTATCTAAAGACATGTGTTATCCAGTACTCAGTTGGATGGTTTGTCTGAGTTTTTTAGCTAACGAAATTCAGCTTAAAGCTGATATCTCATTACAGAGAGAAAAAGCTCCCACATAAACACAATTTTCCCTGAAAGAGATGCGCTGTTTGGTGCAACACTATAGTAAGAACCATTCAGGAAGGCAACTGAAGAACACCAGCGCACCAAACAGCGTATTTCTTTGAGGGAAAATTGTGCTTGTGTGTGAGCTTTTCCCTCTGCATTGAGATATCAGCTTCAAGCTGAATTTCTGACGTACGTTGGCTAAAATACTCCAACATCCCGTCTTACGACCCGTGCGCTATCAGTACAAACTGATAGTTCTCAGTATGGATAATTTCTTATCCAGGTCTCGATACACGATTAAATCCCCGAACCAATTTCCGTCGAAGTGTCGGTAGTCATCAGTCTTAAAATCATCACTTTGCTTAATTTTAAAATGAAAACTTGGCAGAAATGTTTTGTGCGGCGGGAAATGATGAATTGCTGCATTCCATTCTGATCAAAATTTGACGGCCCGTCCAACTTAAATCAAAGAGGACTGCACCGGAAAAAAAGTACATTGGATCTAGAGTCCAGACTCTTAAAAACATCGACAAGAAAAAGTACTCTTGATTCAATCAGACTCTAGCCTAAATCAAGAACCCAGCCCCTTAATTTAAGCGGACTTCGTTTTGATTCGAGCAAAAATCCGATTGAATCAAGAGTCTTTTTTCTTGTCAATGTTTTCAAGAGTCTGGATTCTAGATCCATTGGTTTCATTTCCAGTGTGTTGCATCGTGACCGTCGATCATCAACTGGTCTACTTCGATCCGAATCGGTTCGGAATTCGATCGTGTATCCAGACCAAAGGCATAAAGACGGAGCGCCAGAAGAAGAAAATGAAGCCACCTTTCCTATTGGTTAGAGCAGCAGAAAAACTAACTTTATCTGAGATTCCTGTAAGATTTATCCTTGGTATCAAGCCAAAATAGGTTTATTATAAAAATTCAAAATCCCAACTTTATTTATTTGTTCGTTTTAGGCAAATAAAACGAGATTAGAAGAAGAAATGTGGAAAAATCAAGAGGACAAATTCAAATCAAGTTTCGTTTCCCGCGCATGGATTCACAGGAACTTTATCTTAGATTCCTGTAAGATTCCTGCTTGTTACCAAGCCAAAATAGGTGTATTATAGAAATTCAGAATCCCAAATTCATCTATCTGTTCGTTTTAGGCATTTCAAATGAGATTCAAAGAAGAAATATGGAAAAATGAAGATTACAAGTTCAAATCAAATCGTTTCCCGCGCATGGATTCACATCGCCAGAATGGCTTCACTTCCTCCCCGTACTTTTAGATACGAACACTCCATCTTTATGTCCTTGATCCAGACCTTCCGAGTTGGATTTATTTCGAAGCAAAGCATTATGTACAATTTATTATGGTTGGTGGTACTCACGGGGGGTGATGTCGGTCCTGGTGGCGAGCTGGTAGGAGCGTCGGTGGTGGACGGGGGGCGGGGAGGTGCGGCGTCGCTCCTCGAGCATCTCGATCGTGTCGTCGACGTCCATCTTGGGCAGGTCGATGTACGGCGCGTTTATCGTCGGCGCCACCTCCATCGCCTCCTGCATGATCCGCCGGTACAGCTCGTCCTCCGGGCCCACCACCGGCGACCCCGCCCCCGACCCCCCCTCATCGGGCGCCCCGCCCCCCGGCCCCACACCCGTCCGCTGCACCGTCCCCGTGCTCCCGCAACCCATCACCGGCGTCATCGAGCCTTGACCTGAAACCACAAAGTATTAGTTCCATCATCAAATCCATGAACAGTTCTTATCTAAGATGCTAACCATCGGTCAGATGCGCTGGCACAGGATGAAACCACAAAGTATTATTTCCATCATTAAATCCATAAACAGTTCTTATCGAGGGTGCTAACAATTTCCTCGCCGGGCTTATTATCCACATTGATCGACACATCATTAGACAAAGAAGATTTGAATTAAGAGGTTGATGAACAGTTCCCACTTCACAAAGTATGATTTTCATCATTAAATGCAAAAACAGCTCTTATCCAAGATGCTAACAATGGGTCAGTTGCGCTGGTCACAGAATGGAGAATTTGCATTCACATTTTTTGTCGCTTCATCTGAAAGTGCTTAAAGAGCTGATTTCACAGTATTTTTTATAATTTTTTTCTGATGTGGGAAATAGTATTAAAATTGATTTAAAAGTGAGAAAATGCTCCGCCTTATGACGTAATCTGGCGGCATTTCCCATTTAAACACACGTACACCAGCAGATTAGATCATTTATTCATTTCTCCAGTAATTTTTCAATACATGAACCAAGGGTATCCTCGTCTTCAGTTCACCCAGTAGTTTCCACCTGCACACGAAATGCATCAAATTTCAGAAACCTGCAAATTCTCCAAGCGCACTGTCGCCCGGAGGGGATTTTGTTTTGTTGTAACGGAGGTTGGCAGTAAGCCATAAAAACTTCGACGATATCAGCCATTAGTTTGGGTCTCAATATGAAAATACTCCATCAAAATACCAAGGTCAGGCGTTGTGATTAGCTTATTCGATGACTTGGACCAATCACAGAACTTGAGTTAGAAATTTTGATGGAGTGTTTTGATAGTGTGACACGGGCTATACCAACCAACTTAAAACCAAGATATCTAAGATAATTAATCACTAACCATTTAATTAAAAATCCAAGAAAATGCGGAAATCCAGAAATCCTTAAGCCATAAATAAATATTATAATTTTTATATTTAAACTTATAGAACTAAACTTGAATTGGTTAACATAAAAAAAACCTTACAGCATGTGGACAGCGTTTACCATAACACTAATTTGCTTTATCCAAACTGATTTAACCGATCTTTTAACGGATGATGGTGTTTAAACAAACAAAACTGTTAATCAAATTTATTTACATAAGAACACAATTTCTATTTAAAGCAAATCAAATCAATCTGAAAAGCACAATTTTAATTATATTTATTATATTATTATATCTACTGGGGAAGATTTGCCTGTGGTGTGTCTCTTACCGGTGTCCTCGGACTCGACGGTGAGGACCCTCTGGATGGTGGGGATGCGGAAGGGGTCGGCCTCGTCGGACTCGGTCGGGTCCTTGATCTCCATCTCCATGTCCATCTCGGGCTCTGTCTCGGCGCCCCCGCACGGGTCCGCCTCCAACGCCGCCGCCGCCGCCGCCGCCCGCCGCGCCTTCCGCAGCCGCCGCCGCACTACCTCCGGCGTCCGCCCCCCGGCCGAGTCGCTCCCCAGCGACCCCACCGAGATCCCGTCGCCGCCCACCCCCACCCCCACACGCACCGGCTTGTACTTGAGCGAGGACGGCAGCGAGCGCTGGAAGTATGGCGGCGAGCGGTCGCCCGAAGACCCCTGCAGGCTCCTGAAACATCAACCGCAAACGGGTCACTTGCGCTGGCCTCAGAATGGAGATGTTGCATGTGTGAGGAATCTGCGATTTGACTATTGGTTCTTATGCAAAAGTTTGCAAGAAACAAGACAGTGCCACTGGTTTTCCCTGAAATCAACTCCCAAGCTCAAAAAAAGCTCTCTAAGTTGAGGGCTTAATGGAGGGGATATTCCACGCTATCCTGAGAGTCCACCTCTACATCAAGACAAACTCTCCATGCGAAGATAGGGAGCAAATGCATTGACAGGGCTACCACTTTATTTGGGGACCCTAAACTTGAAAACACGGCAACCCTGCTGATTAGCTCCCTGTCTTCGCATGGAGAGTTTGCCTTGATGTAGCTCAGGATAGCGTGGGATATCCCCTTTATTACAGCCTCAACTTTGAGAGCTTTTTTCGAGCTTGGGAGTCAATTTCAGGGAAAACCAGTGGCACTATCGTGTTTCTCGCGAACTTTAGACTTTGTGTGAAACAAATATTTTTGAATAAATTGCCATGGGATTCCTTCAAATTTTAATGGAATCCTAACAAACGTTCCCTTGTAAAATTTAAATTGCCGAATGCCTTGGTAATTCCTTTCTGGTAAACGCAGTCCAAATCGTCTCATCTGTATGAAAACGGGATTTGTGAGAAAGCCGTAAGTCCGAAAACATTGACGTTGCTTCAGGCAAAACAGCCGTAAAAGCAATATTTATAAGTTAAATTACGCCATTTTTTGCCAATGGGCGACCAGACAAGATCCAAACTAGGAGCAAGCGCCACTTCTTTTTTCCTTAAAATCTTAGCTAGAAAATGGTTCACACAGCGGGAAGTTCAAAAAATCACCGTCCGAACGAGATATTAACACGCATTTGTTTTTGAGGAAACGGAATTCTGCTTTAAGGTTCCTCACGAGAACGTCAAAGCGAGATTCGACTCTAATGGGGCAAGACAATTATGCTGGATTGTGCGGGTACAATTTTAAGCAACACTGCGCCATTGGATATTCTAAAGTTTGGAATTGCAAGTGTCCCTTGTATTATTGTCACTACACCGTGGATATCACGGACTCTGACCTGATATCACCGCACATAGCGTTAGGGTTCTCCGTTGAAGCATAAATCGCAAGAGAAGAAACGGAAAACACAAGTATTGTTAGGTCAGCGCCTGGATGCAACTAAACGTGCTTTATGGATGCCTGTGTTGCATGTATTAGGGTTTGAAGGCGTTTTGGTGTCTTTTGTCTCAATAACGACGCTAAACGCGGTGACGCAGCGTGTCGTCTCTTGATTTGGTTGAATGTATTTCGGAAGCGATCGATCATCATAATATCGCACTAATATTGTCGAATATGTTTTTATTTTCTAGGAAATACTGAAATCGTATCCTCGTGATAAATTTTCAGCCGTTTACCTCCAAACACTCATTCGCGTACATCAGTCTACAGCATCCAAACGCGAATTTCTGTATTCAATAATCCCAATCAAATGGTGCGAATTTGTCCCGTAGTTAATGTGAAAATGGTAATTCACGTCGGTAGTAAAATAAAATTGGAAGATTGAACAAATTTCAGTAAAAGTTGCAGGTTTAATTTATCATTTTTATTTTGCTAAGAACCAAATTGCCTGGAAGCGGAGCTACCTATTCCAGAAATAATGTCATCATTTGCAAATTTAAGCTTCAATTAAGTATACAAACGCGAAGTGTTGCCTTCATCTGAACAAAGCAAACGGTAAAGCATTGCTAGTAGATAATTTTAGGTTTAATTCAGGTCTTTCTACAGAGAATCCATTTCAAAACAGTCACCTGAAATATACCTCGGAACGTGATTGCTGTTGAAGAAACAGTCATGAATACGATCCTTATCGCCAAAACGTCAAAGATGGTTTAATGTCAATCTTAAACGACATTATCGAAGTCATCAAAGTCAAATGGACTGCATTTTGCAATTTGGAACTATAAATTCTGGCTCATCTGAAAAAACACTTGTGTGCATAGGGAAACTAATGGCACATACGTTGTTTTTAAACCGGGCTAGAATTTATAGTTCCTAATTGCAAAATGTAGTTCAATTAGCCCTCTTATGTAGGTAAACATGTACCTACTATTCCTAAATTTTTTTTCAGATACTTTTGCTCCTTTCCGCTAAAGGATTGCTTTATTCTTTCCTCTTCAACGGTCACGCTTGATCGTCTGTCGACCGTCATCCTTGATTTGGAATTTTTCATATTTCCGTTGACTGTCACGACTATTATCATCCTGGAATTTATTGCTTTCACTTCTGACCCATTCCATGGGGCATCCAGATACTTGCCACCCAGTCTTATTTTTTATCTTGTACTTCATCCTTTTAATTAATTTCCTGTGTGTTTTATACATAAGATTATAACATATTATCTCATTAGTCCTTTTTAATTCATGCCAACCTCTCTCTCACAAACCTCTGCCCCCCCCCCCCCCCCCCCCCCCCCCNTCAGTCAAATTCTGATTCGTCTAACTGCGCGTGATACTGTGAACACTGGTTCTTTAATCACACGAGTCCTTTAAGGGACTCTGAGCGTAGCAGAAGAAGAATTGAGAGTTTTGGCACGAACAGCTACCACAATCCGTTTGATGCAGCTACAATTACCTCGAGAGTAAAGGGGGCGTTATCTCCTCGGGTGATATCCTTTGATGGTTCTGCAAATCTTGAAGCGCTATCCCCGACATCACGTCTTCGATGCTTCGCGAGTATCTTTTGTCTTCGTGATATCTGGAAAAGAATGAGAAGAAAAAACAAGTGAAGAGAAGCGTAATTGAAACCCAACACGCATTTGCAGTTCTGTTCGCTCTTTATTCCTCGCCGAATTATACATGTAGGATTCCCATTTCGGAACTTTCAAACCACTTATCTCGTTTTCGGTGTTTTTAAGTCTTCGCTATTGTTTTTTTAATAGGAGATTAACATCATTATCTGAATTTTTTTTTTTTTTAGAATTCGTTTTGTATTAAAGAAACAAATCACGGAATATTACTATAAAAATGTGTTAAGCTCACCGCTTCAAAAACGATATTCTGACACAGGTGGACATTTCGTGAGAGGAGTCGTTCTATGCGACCCTTGTGCACTTGGATACTACACAATATTCAGTGGGAACATCATCGGGGGGCAAATAAGATAAGGAAAAAGCTAAACGTAGCCACTGTTGAAGTTCCATCTGCTCTCCTTTTTCTTCCTTCCGGGTGAATGCGTAGCGTAGCCTTTGATATTTTTGAATACGCCGCCACCAACTTTGACCAAGATGAAATCTACATACATATGAGTCGCTTTTATAGCGCTCTTTGGCGCTGTGCGACGCCTAATCGCCACAAAGCTCGGTCTTCCCACAGGTCATCAGGGAGTTGACAATCTCTTATCTCATTTAACACCCCCTGTCGCCAACCTCTCACTGGGCGTCCCCTACGTCTCCTCCCAGGAGGAACCCAATCAAGCATCTTTTTTGGCAGCCTCTCTTCCGTCATCCTATTGACATGACCATACCAAACAAGTTGTTTGGTCATGACGTCGAACACGATGTCATTTTCGACTTCCATTATCTGCCGCACTCTATCATTACGGACCCGATCTCTCCTAGAAATTCCTGCTGACCTTCTCCAGAAATCCATCTCCGTTGCTCTTAGCATATCCTGTGTCCGTTTCTTCAGCTGCCAAACTTCACATCCGTATGTTAATATACTTTTGACTACAGCGTTGTATATCCTCCTCTTGTTNACTATAAAAATGTGTTAAGCTCACCGCTTCAAAAACGAGATTCTGACACAGGTGGACATTTCGTGAGAGGAGTCGTTCTATGCGACCCTTGTGCACTTGGATACTACACAATATTCAGTGGGAACATCATCGGGGGGCAAATAAGATAAGGAAAAAGCTAAACGTAGCCACTGTTGAAGTTCCAGTTGCTCTCCTTTTTCTTCCTTCCGGGTGAATGCGTAGCGTAGCCTTGGATATTTTTGAATACGCCGCCACCAACTTTGACCAAAATGAAATCTACAGTCCCTTATTTTAACGGTTGAAAAAGCACGTTTAGCGGAATTGTGAGCTGCAGATTCAAAATCAAGAAGGAGAAGCTTAAACGGTGACACGCGTAGCATCATTGCGGCGTTGCCAAATAGTGCAGTGTGCGCAAATGATATTCGTGAAAAGTGTGCGCAAATGATATTCGTGAAAAGTGTGCGCAAACGTTATCGGTAAAAAAATTGTGCGCAAACGTTATGCACCGATTCAGCATAGCCTAAGTCAACCCGCATGCATAAACTCGTACGTGACTAGACGGGATTCTACCAACCGGCGTGTTTTTATTCACATTCTCCTTGCATTTATGAGAACCATGGTGCCGCCTCACGATTTGCGCGCGGAAGCGTCAGCCATGTTGATTTTTGAGTGGAATCCTTGTGCGCAAAGGTTGGATGGAATAGCGACACATTTTACGACATGCGTTTACCTGTGCTGTAGCATCATTATTGAAGCGGGAAGCTTTTGAAACGCATATTTCTTACGCGGATTGCGAAGTTCAGAGTGTATTTCAGACTTTCTTAATGCGCTCATCGTGATTTTTGGGACATTTGCGATGAGCAATGCGTCTTTTTTTCGCATTATGCAGACATTCCAGTGAAATTCGCACAAAAATTCGCAGAACCGTTTTCATTTTGTCGCCCTCCTGACATGAGGGCCAGTGGCGTTGCGTGCTTTGCGATATATCGATTGATCTACCATTTAAACCCATGGAAAAGGATCGATTATTAGGATGTTTGCCAGCGAACACCCTAATAATCGATTCTTTACCACAACTCAAATGGGGAAGTATAGATAATCGATCATTCACGCCTCGCCACTGATGAGTGCGTTACTACACTCCGCGATAAACCATGGCTTCCATGTAACTGAATGATTTCCCGGGTTCATCTTCAAGTAATTGAAAAAATGCCTTACTTATCCTCGTCCTCGTGGAGCATGTTGCTGATGTGACACTCGGAGCCGCACTTGCTCTTCTGGTGCATCATCTCGAAGACCATCTCCTCGAGCTTCATCGTCTTCTCGGTCTCGGGGTCCTCGTCGTCGCTCCGGTGCCGCCGCCGGTTCTTCCGGATGATGGACCGGATCCGGTCGAAACTCCGCGCCAACTTGGACTCCTCGCCCACCTCCTGGCCACATCGCAAAGAAAAGGAAACAAATCATTCGTGTATATCCCTCGAAAAAATACAAGAGAAATCCATTGGAAAACATGGATGACAAGGCTGAAAATTAGCAACAACACGGTCTGTCTTGCCTTAGTCAGGGAATACCGGTAAATGTCGGGGAATTTTAAAAAGTCAGGGAAAACTGGGAAATTTCAGAGAAAATGGCGAAAATTTCAGGGAAAATTTGTTGAATCACCTTTATTTGCTTTCTACGAAGGGTTTAAGGTTTCGAAAAACAAATGCCTGAAAACAATTTTCAATAATGTCTCCTGAACCATCCACTGGAAAAAAAACACATTCGATCTAGAGTTCAGACCCTTAAAAATATCGACAAGAAAAAGTACTCTTTATTCAATCAGAATCTAGCTTAAACCCAGAGCCAAGCCTCTTAATTTAAACGGATTTCGTTTTGATTCGAGCAAAAATCCGATTGAATCAAGAGTATTTTTTCTTGTCAATGTCTTCTAGATTCTGGACTCCAGATCTAATGTGGTTTTTTTTCCAGTGTCTGTCATATTTTCAAGTGTCAGGGAATTTGTGGCAAAATGTGTCTGGATAGTCAGGGAATTTGTGGCTAAATGTGTCAGGAAATTTCATTTTCCAAATTCTGTGGCAACCGTCTGAAAACAAAACTTTCGAGCTATATAGACGTACCGTCCGTTCTGGGCTCAAAGACCGAAAGTTTCTGGGGCTGGAGCCGTAGCTTCGATTGCTTTAGATGCGCCTTGAACTTTTGGCCTCTCAGCCCTGAATGCGAACGATATGTCTTTTTTGCCCGTACGTGCGGCTTCCACGGCCGGAGTTGGTTTTCCGAGTTTAGTACAACACCTTTTGGCAATAACACAGGAATAGCATATATTCGTTTGGTGCGAGAAGCACCTTTTTTCACGCTTGAAAACTGCTCTTGGTTGCCGAAGTCTCTGTACGGACACTGAAGTTCAGTGTGCAGTTCACAAGCGGTTACAGAATCAGGATTCTGAGTGCTAAGCACAGGAAATATGGAAGCTGCTTGATCGTAACGATAAGTGCTTGAATAAAGGAGGACAATCCGTCGTAAAGTAAGATGAGGCACGAACTAATTCAATTAATTCCCTCTCTTATTTGCCTTTCAAGCGCTTTTTGGTCACTGACTTTCTGGTCAAGTCTAAAATTGTGTTACTTATTTGAAATATTGGACCCGCACAGCGAGGAAGTGGGCTTAGAAATACACATTTTCAGACTTCTACCCAACCAAATTTAAACATCTACAGCTCATTAAGAAGCTGAGAATTGTGACTTTCAGATACTTCTCCCTAAATCTTTTTGACCCCAAAATATCACTTTTTTAGTATTCTTTTCTTAGATTTTTCCTTCCTCTCTCCGAACCAAGCCCTCAATATCGTCTATTCTAATCCATGTATCTCCATTTTTACTTAACTTTGAGTCCTCAAGTTCCGCATTTGTACGAAAGGCTTTTCAATAGTGGCTGCAGTCGTAGCAAAGGTCTAAAAGGACAGTACCAAAAGGTATTCATGCTGGAAAGTCAAAACTTTCTTTTCAATTAATTCAAACGTTCAAAATGTTCGTAGTCGAAGCCATTCGATCTACCAAAGGGAAACTTTTTCACAGTATCCTTAAAAGTTGATGAAGAGTGGTGTTGTTGATTTTTGTGCCAATTAGAGGTATTAAGTTAAATTTTTAATCGATTGAGCTCAATTCCAATCGTATCTCGTGCCCTATGAAAATCCTCAAAATTAATGAACAATTAAAACGCCTGCATGCATTTTGCTTGTTAAAACTGTGAATGTTGTATTTTAATCGTGTTCTTTGCTCGAACATCGACCAGTCATCATACCTGGTTACATATACGCCCTTTTTACACATTCTTGAAGTAAGAAGAAAATCATTGAATTGCCAGCAATGGAAATTCATTTTCCTGTTCGTATCTTTTTACACAGTTTTGAAGTAAGAAGTAAATTATTCAAATGCCAGCTATATAAATTCATATTCCTGTTCGTATATGCTGTTTTGTGTGACTGAAAGCAATTAAGCTGCAATTCAAAAGTTCGCTGTGGGATGCAAAACCAAGAGGGGTGGGCTTGGAGAACATAGCAGAAACATCAAAGTGCAACTGCAACACTGAATCGTACGTAATAATTACACCTCTCGATTCAACTCCGAGTTGGCATGACCTCGGGGCGTTCACGCTTTGTTTTCGTTTCGGTTCGCAGATGCACCTACGTCACCTCTAACTTCCTGTAAACATGCGCGCTGTTCTGAGGAAGTACCGTGCCTCAATCTTGAGTGTGGCTCTACAATTATCCTCCCAATTTCTACTCGTAGCCTCGACTCAAACAGGGTCGTTTCCTTGTTTCAGTGAGGTGAAGTTTTCTTTTGAACCATGTAAGTTCATTTTTTTAACGTGATAAAAAATGATAAGTACAACTTGCGCACACTAATGCAGACAGCAATATGGGAACAGATGAAGCAAACATTACCAGGATGAGCCAGGTACCAAAATTAAGGACAAAATAGAAAACAAGCAGCAGTTTACGACCTTATCTCATGTTTCCTAATTGTTAAGCTCAAGAGGCTCTTTATTCTTCTTTTCACTGGTCCACTCTTCATTCTTGCCTTTTGAGTTTCGATCCCTCGAGGATTTTTTTCTTGCATTTTTCTTTCCGTTTATAGTTTTTGTTTATTCTCCTCCAAAGCCCAATTTTATCGCTTAGAACATTCTCGAAAATGATTGATTAAACCATTAGTAATTATCAAATCGTCCAAAAAAAGTGGGCTCCTAGAATGGATCTATGAGTCTACATAGTCGAAAATTAATGTCTGTTAAATGAATGTTGCCGAAAATTAACGTTATGTAGCGATAGAGTGATCGGTCTCCGCGTTCACTTAGGAACACGTCATGATAATTTTGTCCTTGAAACTGATGTTGAGTTACGTTATTAGCATAGTGTGAATCTGCAGCAGCGTAACCTGTGGAACGCGCGAAATGGAAGGAAGAGAAGACACACACACTTGATCTCTTTCTTAAAAGGGGGGGGGGGGGTAGCTCCACCAGCGGAAGTATGAATTTTTGGGAGAAAGGGGCGAGGAGCCTTCCGCTGCTCCTCAAAGCGAAAAGTAGGTAGGGCACAGTGACAAAACGAACTACACTTCTTGACAATTTCGACGACACCTTTATTCTATACTTTCAATAGACTCATCACACTAAGAACAGAAAGAATCAGAACACCATCAGAACCACACTCGAAACTCTCTCAAACCTACACGCGGCTTCCGCGCGGAGTACGTTTAGACACGGCGTGGCGGGCCGATTCGCGGCCTGGCCAGGATCGCTGGTGAGCTAAGACGAGACTAATTTCAGAGATTTTCTGAAAATCGCGAGTAGCGTGGCTTTAGCTTCCCTTCTCCCCTGCGGCCCAATCCACCGGGCCAATCAGGGCCTTACACGGGACTCTGATTTTCCGGGCTGACTGCGTTCACATGGGAACCGAGGAGCTAAGACTCTGCATGACATCACTTTGTCTCATCCTTGCAATTTTCAGCTGAGCTGTTGTCTGGACAGGAAACACAGAGCACCGTTTCTAACCGCGATGCTTGTTTTTCCCATGCAGGCAGCAACCCAGACTCGGCGTCTTAGCAATATGGTTTTAAAGGTGATTGAGTCTACTCAGCGATCCTTCCCCAACTTTTTAGTGGATTCTACCGCTCGAATCCATTGCACCTGTACCACCGATCTAGCAGAAACGAAGAAGCAGTATTGTGTGACCATAGCAGGCCTGGAAGACCAATAATTTCAGATAATTTCTTGAATTACAACTTGACGGTCTCCTTGTTTTCAATACAAGTTTCCCTAATGTGAAATCTGACATTGTATGTGCTCTTGCGATGTCTTGATCAATGGCATTGAACCTGCCAGACCGACGGATCTTCAAACATCAACAAAAAAGACATCGAATAAAAGTGCTGGCATTTTTCGAATTTTCCGGTTGACATTTTTCAGGCGGGCTCACGGGGTTTGAAATAGATCAGAATTATAAAACTGGGGAATATTCAATACTAACCTTCGGGCATAATTTTTTTACAACAGTATTGTTCTAAATGAAACTCATTAAATTATTTTTTTAGAAGTTTCGAGCGTTCCTTTGTGTCTGCCAACGAGTGGAAGTGCATTATTAGTTTCATTGATACCGATCATAAAGACTCTGTTTTCCCCTGGGTGCATTTAAACGGCTAGGAACAACATGGCGTTACAAAATGGAGCAGCTCCCAACAGCTTCGAATTTAGTCTCGGATCCGCAATTTTCTAATCTGATTCATCTACTCAATAATTTCTCGTTAATAATGGATGGAAAGACGTGTCTTTCACCGGTGCCTTGCACTGAGCAACTGTTTTGAAGCTTACCAATCATACTGCGTGATGAGCAGCTGAAGCGGTTCTTATAAACTTGTGTATATAATTTAGGCTTAAATCATCACGTGAAAAAAGCACGTAGAAACGTAACAAGAAGCGACTTCATCGTAAAGTGAACGTAATTGTGAAAATGATTAATAGAAATTTAGTGCAATTACAATTGTGCTCGAACACCAAGATTTTAAATGCGTAGAATTAAGTTTTCGTGAAATATCGCCAATGATTGAGTTTATTAGAAGTTCATGTATCGTAACAAGTCTTGATCGCTGGAAAACAACTGGTTCAAATAACGCAACTAACTTCGGAGTATTTTCAGCTTTATGCTGAATTTTTAACGCATGTTGGCAAAGAAAAACATTCTAATTATGGAGTGTCAACACTTCAAACTTTGTATCTTTTAATGCGTAATGAAGCTCACGTTTCACCGTACATTTTCTTTAAACACAGACGGTATAATGAATTATTTTTGCAAGTTTTCAAGCAAGAACTCACTTCAATCTCTTGCAAGCCAGCGTCAGAAAATTTTGCCAAATTGAAAGGGTCAACTTGTTCCTAAATTTGCACTAAATTTAAAGAGTGGTTTAATCGTCCGTCTCAAAGAGGACAAAGTCAGGCAGAAGTTTTTGCTCAGTCTTTGTTTAAGAGTTTGCCTTAGTTTTTTGAAGATATAAACATTTCATCATATGATCTCTTAGTTTTCTTTTTCACGTTAATCACTCTCTCAGCAACTTAAAACTCCCCCCATCCCTCACAACTCATTCGTCCGAATGGAGGAAAAGAAATTTTAGTCTTTAAAAGAAGAGGTTGCTCCGTTTAGGAGCTGAAATGCTTGATTATGCTCAAGGCGCCTTGATACAACTATTCGCACTCGATGGACGTCCATGTTGCGTCAACATCAATTGAAGGCTCTCCAGCTTTCCTTGCCTTCATAGAGACGCGATCTGCGCTGCGTGTTGTTGCAAGCCCCTGACATGTTGCTTCAGCAACGAACTTTTCTAAACCCACACATTTTCTTTTACGTGTGCCCGTGAATTGTGATCACACATTTAAATCCAATCCTTTCCATTTTAGTGCTGTTTATCTTTCAAGCGAAAATGTCGTGCAATATTCATTGTTGGTGCGAAACGTCGAAGCTATGTGGGAAAGCACTCGATGAAGAAGAAACCCAAAAAGCTAGAGACATTTATTTGTGATACATCACACCCCGAACAACCCACAAATTACGTCACATCATCAAAACGGAGGAAACGCTTACTTCTTTACCCAGGTCCCTAATTGGGCCGTGCTTCGTGGTCACGCAGACAACTCGATACTTAAGCTCAGATAGCCTGCCTCTTCTCAACCTTAATCGACAGACTCCTTCAACCTTTTCAAACCTTCCAGAGTTTTCTCAGAACTCCAGGCACAATAGTGCAGTAGCCCCGGGCCGAACAGATAGGGTGAAGTTGACGCGTACACCATACTTCAAGCGGGAATTGTGTGCACAGAGACAACATATTTTACAGGCCCCGCACTAACTTTTCAAGCATTTTAACGGAATCGGTTCGGAATTTGATCGTCTATCCAAGCCTGCGGGTTGATTTTTGAAATTGATAGAGCGAAAGCTTCTTTGTCCATTGCAACCACTCGCTTACGCCGATAGGATCCCTCCATATCCTTTTCGTCTGTCTATCAGCGGGCTGATTGTGAAAATTGGTAGACAAAGCGATAGACCAAGAAGATGAAAGGGATATGAAGGGATCCTGTTGGTGTAAGCGAGTGGTTGCAATAGAGAAGGGACGTAGGTAATAGATAAACTAACGGCAACTTACGAGAGACCCGATACTTAGTCCATCATTTACCCCCTTAGTCCATAAGAACCGTCTTTCTCAACCAACTAGATCGCTTCGTACTCTCTATGTCTCCTTTGTCCATCGCTTGTCTATCAATTTCAACAATTAGCCCGCAGTTTCAATAATCGGCTCGCTATAAGGAAGCACTGGAAAAAAAATACATTGTATCTAGAGCCCAGACCCGTGAAAACATTGACTCATCACGGGAAGAAAAAAACACATTGGATTTAGAGTCCAGACTCTTAAAAACATCGACAAGAAAAAATACTCTTGATTCGACCAGATTTAAGCTGAAATCAAGAACTCAGCCTCTTAATTTGAGCGGATTTCCCTTTGATTTAAGCTTAAATCTGATTGAATCAAGAGTATTTTTTCTTGTCAATGTTTTCAAAAGTCTGGACTCTAGATCCAATGTGTTTTTTTTCCAGTGTGAAAAGAGGACTCTTGATTCAATCAGATTTAAGCTTAAATCAAAACGAAATCCGCTTAAATTAAGAGGCTTGATTCTTGATTTAAGCTTACATCTCATAGAATCAAGAGTATTTTTTCTTGTCGATGTTTTTAAGAGTAGACTCTAGATCCAATGTGTTTTTTTTTTTTTTTTTTTTTTTTTTTTTTTT